TTTAAAGTTACATGACAGCATTTATAAATATACAATTTGACAATTTCTACGTTAGCATTTTACATGTTTTATGTACTGTCCGTCCTGTTACGTAAAGTTAGAGGTAGAAAATAATACGCTTTCACCGATTTAAATAGGTAGCACTCATAAGTTTGAATTCGTAATTACGTACTCACTCACTTGCGTCGAATGATCACATGTACATGCATGTGTCCAACTTATTTAAAATTGTACAACATCAAACTGCTTTCCTATGTTGTGGAGATGACATTGGAGGCACAAGAAGACGGAGCGATGCCAATTAATCCCATTTGTCTAACGAGTCGAGCAATGCCGGATAATTGCAATTGCGGGGATAATGCTTTTTTAAATAATGATAATTTATTGGAAGTATGGCAATTCCATTTGTAAACAGTGACGCCGGAAGGTATGGGGACATTAGCATTGTGGGATTAGAGTAGAAGGGACTTACTTCTTAGCATGGGCAAGATGCAATTTTGCATGAAATGCTAGTATCATCACTTGTCTATTGCGATTTTGCTAAATTTCTATCCCCCTGTCCCCCTGCCTCCGCTGCCACTTAAATTCAACAAAGTGCAAATCGACAAAATTGCATGGCTGCATGTTAAATGTATATAATGCTCTCGAACCATACATCTAACATGCCCACTTCTCCGGCTGGACCTCATCGACCTGTCAATTCAGCCATAAATATTTAAACCTCCTCGACTGACATGCCTGACATATGCAGATTTTCGCCATTAATTCGCCGGCCGGTTTCTCCAGTCCTGACCGCACCAAAATGGCAGAGAAATAAACCGCTGACCGATAACCAGCCTCAATCCAAAATTCGATTTGCAACCCATTAAGGTGCAATTGTAAGGCTTCTACATATTTCGCCGTTCGTTCGTTGCACTTGAATCTACAATTTAATTATGTAATCGATGTGCAACTGGGGTGCATTTCTGCTATGGCAAGTTGTTAATATTAAATATTGCCACACGGGTATTACCCCGGAATTATGGAGAACCTACGGTAGCGAGCTAATAATTTAATTGGTCAGGATTTTAATAATGCTAATAATTCTCTTAACCGGTATGCAAATCCAATAAGGTTATCCCACCAAAAAACAAGAGAAAAAGAATGACTTTCTCCTGATGAATTTCTCCAATTGACGGCAACCATTAGCACCGGAACGATTTATATTGAGTCTAAAACAATCCAACCCAAGAACTGCTGGGGTTTCTAGAAAATTTGAGTTATTTAAAGCCTACGTACAAACATATCTAAAACGTGAAAGTGGTTAATTGCCCCATAATCAAAGTAATCTCGAAACAAGGAGAAAGTTTATACGGCCAAATAATCTCGTGAAATTTACTCTTCAAAGCTCAACCTACAAATGCATTTGTACGTACATACATACTACGAGATAATGCCAACCATTGTGTTACATATGTATGTACATACTATACCCACGCCAGTTCCTTTTGCATGAATATGTATATGCATATGTGCATACATGCTTCCCAAGAAGCATTTACGTACATACATATTCCTGCTAACAAAGATGTAAGATTAAAAGACAAAGAACATGGTTTGGGTGGGATGCCTGGGATGCAGCGGACGTAAATACGTACAAAATTTGATGACAAAGTCGTATAAATAGCATCGTTCTACCAAAATTCGTATTTTCACGTTACGTAACCTGGCTCACGGTAACCTTTCAGTCCGGTGAAAGCTGAAACTTTTCTCATTCACTTAATCTTTCCAGGATATAAATGTCCCTCCTCCGGTAGTGAAGAGAGACTTGTCATAAATGAAGTCAATTCCTAATAAGACTGGACTTTACATACAATCTTCACTCCAATAATCTTGCCTACCTTTGAGTAGTATGCTCCCAGTCAATGCAGCGCAGCCAAATAAACAAGAAACCGGAAATTGCTTTTTGCAAAAGGCCGGAACAACTTTCTTCGCAGTTGGATCAAAACTTTCTCCCAAATGCGTATCCATCCATCCATCGAGCCCCCAGACCAATACGAGTTACATCACATCACGAATGTCAATGTCAAATATTTCAGACGTTCATAAAATGTCGTTCATAATCTTATTTACAATCAATCCTTCCCAAGCTCCACGTGGCTGGCTCAATTCCGTATCTCGATTTCTTAATGAATGCTGTAGTCTGGTTTGGTGGTCACTCTGGCAAAAAGTTGTGTGCGATGCGATAACTATAAATAATCCTTTTATTGTTACGTTACGACCTACCTGGCCCTTATCGCAGGCATGCAGTGTGCATGTAATAGTAATTGGCTTCCATGTACTGCACGAACCCATGATTTCATAAATGAAATCTATAGGTACGCATTCCATACTTTTTAAGAAAAAATTCCATTCTAATATTCGAATGAAATGGTAAGAATTATCTCGAGTTAAAAAAATTTGAACAGCTTTCTTGCAGAATTTTAGCTCTATTTTCTGCAGACAAACTACGATATGCAGAGCGAATTGTGTAGGAAACTATGTATGCGCATAATTATGCACATACAGTTCTGCAGAATAACCCCCATCCAAATTTTGAACAGAATTATGTTCCAAAAATTATGCAGAATGCTACAACATGCATCCAGCTTTTGTCGATTAGTGCAGAATTCGACGCAATAATTTCTACTCGGTATGAATGATGTCCAATATTCTTTCCACTATTTCAATAATTTTTACCTCCAACCAGAGTACACATTCCTTCGTTCTGTTAGATAAGCAGTGGCCGCGGAAGCTATGGATGGGGACATTTCCATTGTAGGATAGGGGAGGGAGGGGTATATATAAGATGGGCAGATGATGGGGACATCGAACAACCGTGGGGACATTGTCCCTCTGTCTTTACACTTCCGCGGCCACTGTGGATAAAGTTATAAAAACGGTGGATTTGTGGGAAAAAATCGGCAAATTTGAGACGATAATAGTGCACACCTTGCTATATTTGTGAAGCATGTACATACATTCATGAAATCTCATATCAATATCTTCCACCATCCACCATCCACTTCCTTCCTCTTCTTCTCAAAGAACGTAATCACACCAATTTTCTCACTTTCTCCTGAAACGGTACGTATGTACGTACGTACCGAAGGTATCAAACCAACCAGACCACTGACCTCCAAAAGTAATCTACACTTACTTATTTTGCGAAAGAAACAGAACAGGATACATGCAACCAGCAAAGACTTTTGAATGGTCAAATTTCTACTCTCCTACGTAATGACATTGATCAATCGTAAAATCTTCGAGGTTACATACATACGTACACAACGAACAAGAAGGATAATTACCGGATCACATGGGTACAATCTCAAAACCAAAATGGGCAAAATAGCCATCCACTGAATGAAACTGTATATCTACAGAAATGTTTTCACTTTTATGTCATTTCTTCAAACTCAGGCCAGGCATGATTAATTCGCAAAAGAACACTCTGTTCTGTGCCAGGTTACTTTCACTCGGACATATTTAAACTTAATTTTTATCCATATTTCAAATCCTTCCCTTTAATAAAACACAATATAAATCACACGAGCACTTTGACCGCATTCGCAACATCGCCGGTTCGCTTTATTTCATATTCGCTAATCTTTTTTTAAGACTAATAAAACCGTGTCGTTTTACGTTGAACGGATGCACGCGGCACCCAGCTTTCGAAACAAATGCAACTCTGACCACCACATTACCATTAAAGCATAAAATGATTGAACCATAAAATTATTAAGACTTGCCGACTCCGATCATTCACTCACATCGACATGACCAGGTTTAGCATAAAGCTGAATGATCACAGTCGCAACAATCGTAGTTCCATTAATCCAGGGGAAAAAATTGGTTCATTGCTTAAGATTAGACTTAAAATGCTGGAATAATGTGCTTGCCCCAAATAAATGCATGAAAATAATTCCACACTTTTAATACCGCTGTTATACCAGAAATGCATACATACTGAACAGTGACCGCAGAAGCTGTGGGGACATTGCCATTGTAGGATAGGGGAGGGATGGGTTATATAAGATGATGGGGACATCGATACAACCGTGGGGATATTGTCCCCACCCTTCCGTAGCCAGTGTACTTCGTTTCTTTGCTGTTATACCAGAAATGCATACTTGACCAGTGGCCGCGGAAACCGTGGGGACATGTGGGGACATACACACTGTAGGATAGGGGAGGGAGGGGTTTATATAAGATGGGCAGATGATGGGGACATCGAACAACCGTGGGGACATTGCCTCTCTGTCCACACGCTTCCGCGGCCACTGTTCTTTGTAATATGTAAATCTGATTCGTATATTGTTATTAAAATATATATTCATTCATTCATATACACAAATATTTCGCCTTGTTGGCTAAATTCGAAATCCATACGACTGATTTTTCCAACTCCGTCACGAACCGAGGAGAACAAAGGCAGATGCATAAATCAAAATCTCCGTAACACGGAATTTTTGCATTTCCCGATAACAGTAAAACAGCATGGCTTTGATGCCTACGACAAGTAAATATTTAGCCGCTGGATAGGTTAGGTTCGCCCATTTGCAAACTTAGTTTTACAGACATTACTTAAATTGGCACGAGCTAGGCGGAGTATGCAAATTATTATACGTAACTTGACATTTTTTGATTTGCTGAACGAGACAAAGGTCACATTCTCGGAGGCAATTACTGTCAACAACTGCAACTTTACATTTTTTGTCTTGTTATGCACAACAAAATTACGAGAGAGAGATTAGCAGAATGGAAATTTATTGCAAATGCAAAAAAATATGTCCAAACGAAAAAAAATTCTAGTACATATAGAGCCATCTACTCGAAGACAAACTCAGCTTAAAAAAAGATGCTGATTTTATAATTCATTCATGGAATTCATGTCACACTACGAAAGTACAATTAAAAAATGATAAAGGCAATGCAGATAAATTACAGATAAATGAAACTAACCATGCAAAACATAAATATTTAAATCAACAATAATTTATTGCATGATTTTTGAAATGGAAGTAAACATTTTTTATTACCAGATTCATGAAATTTATCATAATAGTTAATATCCCTCTGAAACTATGTATATGTAACTAAACTAAGCTTAATTAATGATGAGATCAAACTACCAATAATAAAGAATATTTATAATCCAAGAATATTTCCTATATTTAATTTCTTTTACTTAAAATTTTATAGTTGGGCGATTGATTTGTTCCACCACAAGTTCAAAATTATATAAAATAATTAACGATAACTATGATATAATAAATGTACGTATAAATATGTTCAGTGGCCGCGGAAGGGTGGGGACAGAGGGACAATGTCCCCACGGCTATTTGACGTACCCATCATGTTATATAAACCACTCCCCCTATCCCACAATGTTACTGTCCCCACATATCCCCACGGCTTCCGCGGCCACTGAATATGTTAAATACATAATGAAATAAAGTCAATTTTAATCAAAGAAAACACTTCGAAAAGCATCCCAGCACCAATTTCATCACAAACTAATTAACAAAAGCGTCTCTAAAATTGAAGGACAGCAAAAAACAAGAAACATATACGATTTTCTGACTAGTATTTTTTCAAAATATTTCAATACTTCAAAATTGAATTATTCAATATCGTTCATCTCCTTGAAAAATAATAAATTATGTTTAATAAATAAATTAAAACATATACTTATCAACTTTTTTTTCGCACCATGTTTCTTCACATGTTGCCAATATTATGGAGCATATAATACATTAGCCAGTCTTTGGAGATGGGTTCAGGTTTTTGTGCGGAAATTGCCACTTCCGGTTGTTGCTGATGCGGATATTCTCGCTGTTGTCGTTGCATCGTTTGTGCAATGGAGGACGACGACATTCTCGGCATGGCCACTGGTCCTCGGAGATCCTCGACGTCCGTGCTCACCCCGAAGGTACCAATGCTGGGGGACTCGACGTCTTCAAAGGTGTCCATTCCCTGAAATTAAAAAAATCAGTTTAATCAACTACGAGTTTACTACATTTCTTGCATTGCAAAAGCAAGCCACACAAGAAATAAATGCGAGGTGCAAGAAACTGGGAGAAAGTGCAAGAAATATGGGTCATCCAGCCACGCGCCATATGAAGTATAGCGGCGGAGCGTCGTTTCTTGCGCCTTGAATTTCTTTCAGGTCAAAATACAAGCAAGAAACCATTTTCTTGCGGGTTTGCTGCATTTCTTGCACTGCAAAGCAAGCCGTTGCAAGAAATGTAAGGTGCCAGAAACTGGGAGAAAGTGTAAGAAAAATGCGCCCTTCCACCCACGCGCCGTATGAATTATGCGCGGCGGGGCTTTAGTTTTTTGCGCCGTGCATTTCTTGCAGGACAAAATAATTGCAAGAAAGTGGTTTCTTGCATTTTTTTCATGGTTACATGCCCCGAAACACTACGTGCACATAATATGTATGAACCTACGCTCTGTTTCGCCGAGAATTCAGGATCCGTTGGACCCAGAGGTTCCAGCCAAAAGTCCAGCCGGGTGGCTTCCGTCATTTTAAGATTGTTCACTTTCACCCGTCGAGATTGTGCTTTGTAACCATTGTAGGAAACCGTCAGGATGTACTCGCCTCGAGTCAGGAGTCGGAAGTAGTCGCCACCAAAGACTGAAATATTTTCCATACAAAATTATTTTATGCAAATTGTCACAGAATGTCATTAAAATAAATTGATAATAGATAACTATTCTGTGTTAATTACTGACCTGATGTCGTGTCGTGGTTAATATCCCGCGGAATTCCAAGCTCATCGCCATGAATGTGGGTGATATTCTGCGTGCGAATGAGAGCATTGGCAATCGGGCGTCCAGTAAAGGCGTCCCTAATCATTCCCTTCACACCAATGTGACTCTAGACAATTTTTAAACAAATTGGTTTAAAATTTCCATCCATTACACACAAAATACGCATAATTTCCATATGCAAATATGTATGAATGTACACAGTGTTGCATAACGAAATGATAAAATTTTGAATAACAAAATTTTGAATGCAAAAATTTTGAATGAACAATTTTGAATTTATGCAGATTTATTAATTTACCAACCTGCCACATAAAGTTGATCAAACTGTCCTTATTGTTTTTCCACTCTTGCTCCAAGTCCTTCTGATCCGTATACTTCTTGCAGCCAAGCTCCAACGTGATTTCAAAGTCGTTGGAGGACAAATAATTAAAATCCTGCATGCCACCTCGGACGCTGTACCATTTGGCGCCTGGATGTACAAAACATTGCATTTTTATGTGTCTGGCAAAAACTTATGGAATTTCCAAACTATGTTCGGGGGGAAGTCTGGGGGCAAGCGTGTCTTAATGCAATTGAAAATTCCTCGAAAACTTTCGAAAATTTCCGGGATTATTAAAAAAACTGTCAACAGCTTTCGAAAATAGGGGGTTTGGGAAAAAATAATTTTTTAGTGGGGCGGGGAAGCTTGGAGGATTTTACCAGACTGCAATTATGATTAGCACGTGGCATTTTTATTAGAATAACAAAGTTATGAATTACCATTAATGATTCCCCCAGTTTTTCCAAAGTTCACATTTTCTAAAGGTTCGCAGGATCTCCGCTGGGGATCACCCATCGTTGGATGGTGGGTAGAATACGCCAATGAGACCTTGCTGTAATGCATGAAAGATTTAATATTTGAAATTTTGGCAAAATTTGACATATGTAAATACCGGAAGGTATCGTCATCTGGGGTCTCCGTGTACTCGGAAGATGCTCCCGTTCGACTAGAATCGTACGGATAATTGGCCACCAAATCGCCACCATGCAAATTAGCAGATAGGACGAATGGGGTCGACATGATGAGTCGCATCACTGCCAATGTTTCCGGTTGGACCTTAAAGTTAATAATTTTAAATCAAGTCGTAATTTGCGAATATTGAAAATAATTTTATAAATATATTCTCTGATTATTACTGGATGGCCCAACTCTCTTATGAAATCCATCAAGTGGTTATTATGATTAACTTGGTACTCTTCATTTCCAAACATGATTTTGTCCAAGTCGGGAAAATCTCGGTTAAGATCAACGCCATTCGCGTTACTTCTTCCAATCAAGTAATCTGTGCCTCCCTAGAAAAATATTTATGTACACGATAAATATACTGCCAAAGATTTCAAATTCATATTTCCAGGGGAGGGGGCAAAATATTTCGTAAGGATAGAATATTTTCAGGCGTGTAACACCCACAAAAAGACGAAAATCCGCGTGGAGAGTATTGCAAAAATACAGGTTTTCTGAAGAAATTAGCTTTTTATCAGTGTCAAAATACGCTTTTTTCACGATTTAAAAAATACAGTATTTTGACAGCGATAAAAATTCGTTTTTTTTTCAGAAAACCTGTATTTTCGTCTGACAACTGCTTCCACCACGTAGATTCTTGTCTTTTTGAGGGTGTAACACCCTCGGAAATCCAAAATACCGCATTTTGACCAAGTATTTTGCCCAATTACAAACATAAAATGACAAATTCATTACTTTTTCCGTCGCAATTTTCCACCCGTCCGGATTCATCGAAGGAAGCAAATGTATTCTTGTTTTCTGAATCAGTTTTTGTACGCTGGCGTCCCCCCGATGATATTCTTCACAAAGATAATCTGCCAACTTTAGCATCAACTCACGTCCCAGAACCTCATTTCCGTGCATGTTTGCAATATATTTGAACTCGGGTTTCACTGCGGAAAAAGAAATTCATACCCAAATTGATTAATTTTTACGGATGCAAATTCAAAATACTAGTTTACATAATTTACATACTCATATTACATATGCAAATTCAAGTATATAACTACAAATTCAAAGTTTCTTTACATGGTTCATGCTGTCCTGGCGTGGTCGAAAACTCAATCACATAGAGAGGCGTCCCCATAACGGAAGTTTCTGAGAGGGTGTAAATCCTCGTAATATTTGGACAAGCTTGATGCACCGATTCCAACACTTTCAAAACCTCCTCATTATTGTGATGCTTAAATTCAAACGAGGCTGAAACGACCCCGATAATGCCCACCACGAAAACCAATATTTTTAAAGTGCTCTCCATCATCTTGGTCTTATTTTAATATTAAAACCAACGTAAAAGTGCCAGTCAAAAAATAAATTCGTTCGTTACTTTCTCCAAACCAGGCCGTATGTTCAGCCAAGAGAAAATTGCGTGGGATCGGGAGAGAAGATTTTCTACATTCTGGCCACTTTTAAACCATGTAGCACCTGTATTCAAAGCCTATAACACTGGACCCCACAATATGAGAAAGGCTGGAACAAGTGGGAGCTAAAATGTATAGATGAATGAACGAAATAAGGTGCAAGTTATATAGGATATAGGATCCGTTTTATGACGCAAATCGTCCCAGCTAACCGAGTTATTGGGGAAAGCCGTGGTGGTGGAGAAATCTTTCTCTGAGTGCCGACCCCCACCAACTTTCTCCTCGTAGAGAGGCGCTCCTAGTCATGGTTGGGCAAAGTCCAACATTTGCCAATTTGCAAAAACACCACTGAACTGAAAGAGTATGTATGTATGTACGTATGACTTTAACTTGGAGTTTATAGCACGCCACACTGTGTAAACTTGGCAAAGGATTTACAAAACCACGATTGAACTGGTATTAGATAGAATATATGTATGTGTTCTTAACTTAATAGTGGCAGCAAGGATGAATGAGACACTATGCAAACCTGGCATTCATTACCAACCAACTAGATATGTGTGTACCTCCAAAATGCAAATTAATACTGACAAAATCTGTAACCACAAGTGTTCCATGTAGAATTTCTGGTTTGTGGTTTAATGCATGTGACGTACTTAAATAGAAATGGGAATGTTATGTATATGATATTTGAGCTTGACAGTTAAATAAAACTAATTTAAACACATTTGTACAATGGTATATAGCTTAATTACTTATGGGACATACTTTGCGTTTATTTTTTTTTCCTACAGTATTTACATACATACAAACGTACGTATGTACCACTGACTCTGATACACTTGGTCGTTATACGTGCATACATATTTATAACGATGATGACTTAATTACTTAAAGTGTTGGTATTAACTTTCAGCCAAAGGAGTTAATGAATAGACATTGTTTAGCGAGGTATGTCATTCATGGACATGCGCATATACATGTTTAAGAGGGCCTTCAACCCAGAAAATAATCTTTAAACAATACGACCTCATAATTTAATGGGCACTATTTCATAAAGCAACCATAGCACAACATAATAGTGTTTATAGATGAACGTCATATCGGAAATTATGTAAATATGATCCCTCATAAGTCTAAACCTTAGAATAATTATTTCTACATATTTCCTGCAAACACCTTTGACATACATTCCTGAACATAAATATGCTACAATAAGTTGAGCGTGGTCCTTAAACATGAACCACAGTTGACAGTGTGACCTTTAAAATGCTAATTATGTAAATAAATACCATCAAGATAACCAGCGTCTGGGGACACGTGGGGACATAAACATTGTAGGATAGGGGAGGCCTGGGTTTATATAAGATGGGGAGATGATGGGGACATTGCCCCCCCTCTGTCCACACCATTCCGCTGCCACTGCTTTTTATGCACTCATCTCGCAAACTGACCGGAACAACGTCGTCATTGTCCTGCAAACCCTCCAATAATTCGCAGATCTGTAAGTAAACATCACTTGGATGTTTTCTTCCCTGCATAGAATTAGAATATCTTATGGTCATTAACATATTGGTACTATTCATTGAGCAGATTATTTACATGCATCAAAAGCTGCTCATAATTTGGATGGATGGATGGACATTCATCATCATATTAACCAACGAGTATTTAAGTACCGGCTTTTCTTCAACTTCACTTTACACGGAATTTAGTCGTCTTTTTAATTAATTTCTCGTAATTTGTGTATTAGTTTGGTCTAAAAACGATCCCTACTCCACCCACAAGGTTATCCGTATTCTAGCCTTTGCAAAACATTCGACTACATCTCCCGTCATAGAAGTTCAAGGTTTGTAATTATTATTATGTACGAGTGATATTTTCTCCTTTGCAAGAATGTTTCATACAAATTTTTAATTCTAAAATTTTTCATTTTTTTAAATTTAGAATTTTCACTTCCGCTGGAAAATAAAATATGGGTCAGCAAAATAGCTCGATGAGACCGCAGCTCTATAAAATCTGATTGTATGTACATACGTACACAAATCCCATATTTTGAAATACATGCATGTTTTCAATGATAACTTATCATCATCCTAAAACAACCGCATTCTCCACTCTAATAAATAAATTCCTTACCTTTATAACAGATTCTTTCCAAAATACTGGAACGCGTCCCTCACTCCAGAAAAATATTACGCCTACTTTCTTACTTTTTGAACAAAATCACACTTTCCATTCCTCGCTGACCCTGACGCTTCGCTCATTGTCGGAAGGTTGCAAGTCATATTTTACCCTTTGCTAGAATATTTCATAGAAATTTTACATTTTTAAAATTTAGTATTTTCACTTCCTTTGGAAAATATGGACCAACAAAACACCTCGATGCAATCAGCTCTACAAAATCCGCTGGTATGTACATACATATGGACTGGTCGGTGAAGTTAAGTGTCAAGACGTTTATCCCTGCAAAAAATGAATGCACGAATCAAGTGTAAAGAAACTTTTGTGCAATACTAACGATGACCAGACCGAAGTTATGTAATCCCTCGTTGGTCCAAATACACCTTCCCTACCGGTGGAGAGAAGGCTTTGTCGAGCGCCTCTCATGAGCGCTTTGCCATGCACTCGTTTCGTTAACTTCTATGAGGGTTTTCTCCATAACCCGCCGACATTTTTCAAAATTGTTGGGTCTTCTTTTTTCTGAGTATATTGCTTCTAAATTAATGATCAAAATCTTTCCGACATTGAGGTACGTTTGGACCGATGTCTTTTTTCACTACGAAATCAGTTTTTTTCTCTCGATGGTACCTTCTCAAAATTTTGGCATTATAGCCCATACCCATGTTACACCAAAATAAAAAGCGTTTGTTTTTGATAGAGGGGGTCATTCTTTTGAAGATACACTCTTTCAAATAAACTGCGGAGTTCGTATTCTTGGTGGAAGCGAATTGATTTGAGACCCTCCGATTTTTGTCTATCGGCAGCCATTTTATGTATTTCATTGGAAATTTTCCTTCGTTTTGAATTTATATTTCGAACGAACGTCATTTTTACTTCTACATGAGTAGAACTTTACAGGATTGATGCTTCGAGGTCAACGGGGCAGTAGTTTTAATCATCCACGACGAGAAACTTCTGGGAATCGATTTTAACATTTTCTCAACAAGTTTTCAACAAACTGTTTTAGTCCCTGATTTTATATCTTCATTGTGTTTTAGCGCGGTTATAATGTTGCAAGTTTTGAAGCCCAGCTTATTGGCTATGATCTTGAGAAGATAGGTTTTTGAAATTTTTAGTTGTCTGGGTGCAACCCTCACGGATCTGTTGCGGTTTTCTGTAAAAGTTTTTTCATGTTTCTCGTCCGTGTTTTGGTCTGCTGGCGGACAGATCGACAAGGCCAAATTTTATAATTTGCATTTTCATGGTCCTTAGATATGTCTGGTGTATGACTAATTTTGTCCGATGCGTCCCTTGAGGAACGAAGTGGTCACAAGCCCTTTTCTGATTAGAGAAAAACACTTTCTTGACCGAGTGGCAAACTAATTTTTCCTGTTCCTCTAGATTTTGTGCTGTCATTTTTTAACGAAAAGAGATAATCAAATTCGGTTTTCAGTTTTGGGAAGCTTATCAAATTTGACATTTTTTATGGGTTTTTACATGTTCAAAATTAATTTGTAAGTGGTTGAAAAACTAGGGGGGATCTTGACACTTAACTTCACCGACCAGTCCATATATAAATCCTCTATTTTGAAATACACGTTTTCATCATCCTAAAACAATCTGCATTATCCTCTCTAATAAATAAATACCTTAACTTTTTACCAGATTCTTTCCAAAATCCTGGAACGCGTCCCTCGCTCCGGAAAAACATTACGGCTCGTTTGTCACTTTTGGAACGAAATCACACTTTCCCTTCCCACGCCAAAGGTGATCATTAGGCTTGGCTCATTCTTGGAAGATTGCGATGCCATTCAATTCTTGTGTACGCAAATGGAACCCAAACTTGGAAGAAGTATACTTGCTCATGCTACCTACTTAATTGGTGGATTACCTTGCTCCCTGGACACGAAATTGCTCCACGTTTCCCGTCACTTTGGTCACTGCATAGAAAACTTTTCTATAGCCATTAGCAATCCAGACTTCCTCCCAGAAATCCTCCAAAATTCCTGCCCTCTTCTCAAAACACTTGAAATTAAATTCAAATCGGAAAGATTTGAATCAAAATCTGCAGATTTACGCCCTTGCATTCTGCACAACTTGATCTCTATCAAAATAATTGACGATGATTACAGAAGACACCCACAATTCTTCAAGATGACACAATGGCTCCTTAATTCTGCCCCAGCGCTGACACATTTCTCCTACTCTGGCTGCCAGCCCCCAGATTTAAGTCGGAATAAGTTCATCAAGCATCTTAGATTAGAAATCCCCATGATTAAGAGATCAAATCTCTGGAGCGCTAATTATATGCGCAAAGTCAACCTCCTCTTGGACCAAGTGAAGGATACCGTGGAAGTTTTTTGGTTGTCGACTGACTATCTCGACCTCACGAGTGACGTTGAGTTAAAAATCCCTAAAATGAAGAAGCTCAAAGTCTTCCAGAATTGGATGGTGGATATTTTTAGCGGTGGAGATAAAATGCAAGATATTTGCACGGCACGGATTCCAACCTTGCAAACTTTACTGATTGCTACAACGTCAGGAGCATCTTTGGCCAAATTATTTCGCAATATAATGCAAGAGAAGGATTCCTTTAGCGGAGTGAAGGACCTGGATGTGACGGAACTACGTTCTCCCAGATTAATTTCTGGATTAAAAACACCCTTCCCAAATTTGGAAAGGTTAAGAATTTGTCTTTTCGAGGAGGATGAACCTCCATTTATCCCGTTACAAGCTTATCTAAAAGCGTGTGGTTCACTTGGATTAAAACACTTGGAGATGGATCTAAGCTTGTATTATGGTGGCGGAAATGTATCCGAATTTTTGCGAGATTTTTCAAATTGTGGGGAATTGTTGGCAGGTAAGAACGAAATTATTATTACGCATATATGCATGTACATTTGTCGACTTTCGTGGTGATTTTTTACAATGAAATTAGGTCTCAAAACTCTGGTACTAAAAGTCAGTCAGTGTGACGATGACTTGGACGATGTCGAAAATGGGATGGCGGACATGAAGCAGTGGCTTTTAAGAATGAAGGGATTGCAAGACGTACATATTTCGGGAGTCTATGTGAGTCTGGGTGAAAGTGTTGTTTTTACTATTTAAAATTTGTTTTTAAATTGATTTTATTAACATTTGTTTTCTAGTTCCGGAAAGAAACCTAGGAACGGATTAAACCCTTCATTCGCGAGAACAAGATTCCAATTGGGTTCAAGAAAACTTCGAATTATCTAATGGCAAGTGCATCGTTCCTCAGAAATACTGGACCAAGGGGAGGCTAAATGGCCGACCTCTCCATAACGAATTACATGTAGAGTTTCGAAATTAATTTTACGCTCAGTTCCTGATGGATTTTCAAAATTCTGCCCGTTTTGGAAACCTTGGACCTTTGTGGGAAATATACATTTTCAAATTTTTGAAATTTGACATATGATAACCTGACTATCCGCCAAGCATGGTACCCAGATCTTTCGAAACATGACGTGGAATTTTGAAATTCGACACAAAAATGCTACTTGTTTTTTTGACCTTTTGACCTGGATAACCGGGGGGTGGGGTCAAATTTCAAAAATTTGAAAATGTATATTCCACACAAAGGTCCAAGGTTTCCAAAACGGGCAGAATTTTGAAAATCCATCAAGAACTGACCGTGAAATTAATTTCGAAACTCTACATGTAATTCTTTGTGGAGAAGAGGTCGGCCATTTAGCCTCCCGATAATTCCCTTCCTCTACCTTTTCCAGCTTAATCCGGCTTACTTATAATTAGTACAATAATTCTTCATAAAATTAATTAAAGAACAATAACAATTCTAATTTTTTACTCTCCATATCGAGTTGGAAAATGGGGTCAACACGACCCTGGCGTCCAACCCCAAGGTGTCCCCTTAATTTTCATATGCGGTGTCATTTTAAAGAAATTTCATTGCAAACTCTACGCCTTCAGTATTTTTGACCTCTGACCCCCCCCCCCCCGCATGACTGTGAGGACGAGGTAAAAAGTCTGAAAATACACACAATTCTGGTGTCATTTTAAAACAAATTTTAATCGCTTTCATGCTGCTACTTCTTTATCTTCGTTTACAACGGTTTATTTCTCAACTAGTCCTATTTGAATTCTATTTATTTATTATGCCAACTTAAAAACGTGTACAATGCGAAAATGTTTTAAGGTTTTATTTAATGACGTGTAGCACGTTGCTGACTTATTGTCACTAATAAAATAATGAATGAATTAGGGAGTTCCTTAATTGTAGTAAAGTACATATGCATACTTTACGTAAGTACATACATACGTGGAAACTAAATATAAAGAATTTGACTAAATTTGTAATTTATGTACTTACCTCGTCTGTCTGTCTTTTTAAATGTCAATGTATGCACAAGAAAGTGTAGAATAAAGTAAAGTGACACATTTTTGCATTTATTACTTCTACATTTTACTTATTGTCACGCTCCACATAGGAAAACATGATGAAGCCTTTAAAAGTTAAGGCATGTTTAAAGGCGACATATTAAAAGTCATGAAAGTTATGTGTTAAAAAATCACTTTCATGTACATTCTATACATTCGCAACCTTATCAAGGTGATCAATTTACATATCTATTTTGAAAAAAATTGAACCCTTCCAAAATAACGATTTCGTAGCAACTTTATTACGCATAATTTAAAATATTTATCATGTATCTTTCTCAAAATGAAATCTCTTTTACGCACTTCTTCACTATCAATAGCAGCAGTGGCGGCGGAAGCGGGGGGATAGGGGACATTGTCCCCTCAGAAATTTAGAGAAATCTATACTAAGCCCCCCCCCCCCCCTCACAGTGATAATGTCCCCATACATATGTCCCCCCACCCAACTTCCGCCGTCACTGAATAGCAGACCACATGCACAACTGAAAAGTCTTGTACTTTTTCGCGTCGTCGTTCGTGTACATGGATGCAAATCTTTGAAAGTCATGCATACCACAAAATTTTATCTTGGCCGATACTTTTTTACTTTATTAAAACGAAATTATGTTGTTAGAATTCACCCTGAACTACTGGCCCTCACTGTGCACGCAATTTACCACAAGTTTTACAAAACTCTTCTTATAAGAATTTATTATACAACTTGCACAGCACGTTTTGACCTTTCTTCACTTTTATTAATGGATGATTAAATGCCGAGATTTGGGTAAAACTGGGTCAAATTCGAAATAAAATCACTATTTTGCTTTATTTATTACGATTAATTGGTCATTATTGGAGCCACGTTAAAGATTAAACCTTTCAATTTTATGGCTAGAGAGAGAAAAATTAAATGTCCATTATGTCTCAATTTTCTTACTATTTTGACATTGAATTACCCATGTCGATACAATTTTGGATAAGTCTGTACTCCAAAAAATTAGTAAATAACTATTGTCAACTAAATATTAAACAATGTCCATTAAAAAAATTAACTATTCTTCAAATCCATTACGTACCTATCAATTTTCTTACCCATAAACTAATTACCCATGTCGATACGATTTTATTTAGTAGCTAAATTGAATAAATTCGTATACTACAAAAAATTAGTAATTGTCACCTATTAATACATAAAAATACCCATTTATCAGACAAATTAATAAGTGTCTCACTCATTTCCTACACTATTTCTTGCTCAATTCGATTACGTATGAAACTCTCCAAAGTGTCTCATTAGAAAAGCTTTCAATCGATCAAAGTCGTCTTATTTTACAAACTATGTGCATACATATGTACATACATTCGAGCATGTAGGTGTACAAATACAGATCCACATTTTTTACCATCATTTAATTATTTATTTATTATACACGTAGTGAGATCATCTGCAAAAAAAGTGAACCACATTCACACTTACCAATGCGTTAGTTATTCAAATTCTGGAATTTGATATAGTATGCACTTTAATAGAAATTAAGAGTGCATCGTCGACTATCTACTTAAGGATTTCCTCAACATTGTTATTCGCTATTTGGCTCAATCGAGTAACAAGATAAAAACTGGATTTGACTGCAGTGGCCGCGGAAGCGTGTGGGGACATTGGGCCTCCGTCCCCACGCTTATCTGATGTCCGCATCATCTCTCCATCTTATATAAACCCTCCTGATAATGTCCCCACGGCTTCCGCGGCCCCTGGATTTTTTGAGGATGCATGATTGACCCTTCATAACACTGTAGCTAATTTTTTTGTACAGGTGCACTTTTGGAATTGTCAATAATAATGGTTTCGTTATATAAGTAACGTGACGCAAGAACATCCAAATTTCAAAATTGCCTAAAATGACCCCACCTCCTGCACTAAATTATAAATTATTATTCAAGCAAGCATCAAAAGTTTTGCATCCCTTCTAAAATTTATTTACGAGATTGAGCTCAACCGTAATCTAGTTTTTTGTTTCATTTCCTCTGCATGAAAATTAAACTTGAACTTTTTTTATCAAAGTACTCACAAAAATATTGACAAATTGACTTAGTGAATAACACATTATTATTGCCCAATAATTTTCGTTATGTATTGTATGCTAATTTCAAATTGGATCGTTAAAATTTTACATTTTGGACGTATTACCTATTATTTACCACCCACACCCACGCGTAAACCGGAAAGAGTTACACATTTAATTGTATAATTAAATGGTAATGTTTCTTTTTCTTGTTAACTGGTGGTGAAGGACAGTGCAAAATACGAGACATTGTCGATTTGTCTAACGGCCATGTAAAATAGTACTAACAATTCCATTTATTTATTTACATGGGGCATTATTACGTAATAAAACATTTGTCATACGTACATAAAAATTTGTATGTACAGTGTCGGACAGATGTCTACGTCCACATAGTCGCGTCAATTTCATTTTCAAATTGTCACTGAACTACTGAACCAATTTTCATCATTGATATATCAAATTCTCACAAATTTAACGTAATTTCATAAAACATATGAGTTATTTCTGAAAATTCTGGGAAAACTGAGAATCATAGTGCAGAGCGAGAGAGGATGAAATTTGAGCGGACAAAAGTCTACGTCCACTTCACTTTAATTGTCAACAACAAAAATCTCTCCAATTTATAAAATCAGGTAACTTAATAAATCTATCAATAACATATGCCGCATTAATTTTTAAATAATTTTCTTCCAGAAAAATATGATGGCGTCGACACGCAAGGAAATTCCTATCGCTATTCGAGATCTTGTCATTCAGGGTGGACAAAAAGGGGGCTGTCGCAGAGACAAATATGGACCAAGTATAAATTAGCAAGGATAACCATCCAGACAATCATTAAGAACTTTAAAGCTAATGGTTCAGTCCAAAACAAGGTCAGAAGTGGTCGAAAACCCATTTTGGCTCACACAGAAGTACACACAGAAGTCACAGTCACAGAAGTACGCCACGTGCTCAACAAAGTCAACGTTACACCCTCACTTAGTGCTCCAAAGCTATCTACCGAGATCAAGGAGATGTTCGGCAAACAGGTTAGTCCTATGACCATCCAAAGAACACTGAATAAGGGAAATTTGAAATCCCACAGAGCAGTTCGGAAGCCTCTTATTGTACCGAGGAATGCAACCAAACGAGTGAAGTTTGCCAGAGACCACATTTCCAAGCCACAAACATTCTGGGACATATTTTATGGACTGACGAGTCAAAGTTCAATGTCTTTGGGTCAGATGGGCGTCGTAGAGTGTGGAGATATCCAAAAGAAGCTTTGAATCCAAAAAATCTCAACCCCACAGTTAAGCACGGCGGCGGGTCGGTAATGGTGTGGGGATGCATGGCTTCAAGTGGGGCAGGAAAAATGGAATTTATTGACGGAATTATGGACCAATACAAGTACCAGGGAATACTTGACCGTAATATCCAGGAATCTGTTCGAAAACTTGGACTTGGACGACGATTTGCCTTCCAACAAGACAACGATCCGAAACACTCTGCCAAGTCCACCATGGAATACTTCAAGAAAAAAAATTCCGAAGCTAGAATGGCCTCCCCAATCTCCAGACTTGAATCCCATTGAGCATCTGTGCGACCACATTGAAAGAGAAATAAGAAAACAATCTTTTTCAGGAATTCCGGGCCTTAAATCCAGAATTCGTGAAGTTTGGGAAACCATTTCTGAAGATGTGACCAAGAATTTGGTAAACTCAATGACTCGACGCCTTGAAGCCGTCCTTAAAGCGAACGGAGGCCCAACCAAATATTAAAAATTAATTGTTATAACATTCCTTATAAATTACAGTTTTTTTTGTATGTTTTCTCTGACTGGACGTTGACTTTTGTCCATCCAATTGTTTTCATTTTGAATTAAAATACATCTCTGGCCTAAAATAAATTTTTTAGCGGAAAACTAATAATGTGCTATGAAATTACGTTAAATTTGTGAGAATTTGATATATCAATGATGAAAATTGGTTCAGTAGTTCAGTGACAATTTGAAAATGAAATTGACGCGACTATGTGGACGTAGACATCTGTCCGACACTGTACACAATACTTAACATGAGACAACCTTCTTAAAATATACATAATCTTGGGCAAATAAGTAGTTCCGTTTAAGAAAATTTCAAATTAATCATGTAGTTTAGACGTTTTAGCTCTATCATATTTACAGACGGACAGACATGACGATTCTATAATCCCTGATCTATTTACTTAACTATAATACCCGGTAATTAATTTGCGTATTAAAACCCTTGCGCATTTTGTCCCCAATTAAAAAATCTTTCGCAGACAGAGTGGCGATTAATCAATGACTGGCTTCTGTTTGGGTGCATACCTGACGAAAAATTTACGGATGTGTTATGTGTACATATGTACATATCGCATTCAGGATTCATTTCATTACATAATAACAAGAACTAGAATTATTCAGTAGTGAATCGTACCGTACTTGCAATTTATGACATTGTTTGCGCTTATTTCTTATGTAATAGGATGCAAATTCTAAATTAATTTAGGTACTTTTCTTTCCCCCATATGAAAACGAGAGTAATAAGTGAATAACTAGACCTCTAACACATTATGCACATTTATTATCTGTCTGTGTACTGCATGCATTTTGAAATCTGATGATGATGACTCACACTTTTTATAACGCTCATTATTACAAACAAATCCTACTTTACATGTCAAAAAGTAAAACAACTGAAAAAGTCCTTCTAGCAAAAACTCGTAAAAAAACGTATTCACCTGACACGCACCCGCCCCCAGGCAGGCCATGCAGATAAAGCTTCACCCCAAATAATATCACCACCACTTTTTATCACAAGTAAAATATCCTAGCAGACGGCGAGTTTTTTTAACTCGTGATTCCCCATCTTATCATCAGATTACTTACTTAGCTAAATATCTAATAAGAGCCGGTAGACCATTAAGAGTATAAAAGCGTTGGGAGACGAGGAGTTTATTATCAAATCCACCTCAACCATTATCAAGTCAACAGTTAAATACATCCTCAAAAAACAACCGAAAATGAACAAGTTTGTTGTAAGTTGATAAGATTAATTTCGATAAGCAACAAATTTAAATAAATTCGTTCTTATCTTCAGATCGCCTTCGCTCTGGCCTGCTTGGCCACCGTCGCTGTGGCCGGAGACGCCGCCCAAGAGAAGGGAGACTTGGTCACTGCGGAAGGTAACATTTACGGAAGTCTTGGAGGGTACGGAGGGGGGTTCGGTGGGGGGTACGGAGGGGGCTGGGGGGGTGCCTATGGGGGTGGGTACGGCGGATACGGTAATTATGGAGGGTACAGCGGTCTCGGAGGATATGGTAAGTACAGTAATTTAAAAATTTAAAATACCAAAATTTCAAATTTTTCAAAATTTCTTAGGAGGAGGTTGGGGTGGAGCTTATGGCGGCGGTTATGGCGGTGGATATGGTAAAAATACGAACAATTCACTACATTTGATAAGTATTCTCATCGGTAATAATTCATTTACAGGCGGTTATGGAGGTTATCGAGGTGGTTATGGAGGTACTTAAAATTTCTTAAGAAACATTTCTTATCCTGGGCTTCCATTAATTGTTTTAATTATTCCAGGATATGGCAAGGGTTTCGGTGGGGGTTATGGTGGCCTTGGTGGTTTCGGTGGTGGGTGGGGCTGGTAAATGTGGACCTGCGTAGTCCCCCCTCCCATTCTCGGGAACTTTTCATCTCAAAAACAAAATTTAATGCCAAAGACTGCAAGTTTACCTATACTACTACTACTACTGCTACGATACTTGTAATGAATTCATCTCATTTTGCCAAGTTCCAAATAAATATCAAGTAGAAGAAACTTATCAAAATATGTCAAAAAATGCACTTATTTTCTCAGAATCATGAAAAACCGCATGAAAACGGATACACTCATTTTAAAAACTTATAAATATTCCGAAAATGCATTTCTTTTCTAAGAAAGCCTCATGAAAAATCCCCTACACTAATTTTTAGCAACTATATTCAGCAGAAATTTATCAAAATATGTCGAAAAATGACTCCATTTCTCAAAATCATGAAAAATCGCATGAAATGGTATGCATTTTTGCATGGCATAGACTTTCTCACCACCGCCCGATTCGCCTTTTGTTTGACAATAGTGCAGTCAATATTATGTCATTCATGACTTTTTCGAATCGAATAGAAATGTAATTCCTAGAAATATTTAAAGTTAGAGACGCATTTCATACTTAATTCCCCCTGAAAAATCCCTAATACGTTATTGCTAAAGATAATAATCCTCTCGCTGTGTGCGTCGCTAGCATTTATTTACACTTTACAAGTTGTGAATTACAACTTTGCTCCGTGCCAAAAAGTTTGCAACGAATTAATTGTGGTAAAATTTACCAGTGGTAAATACATAAATGGCTCAACGTGGTGACCCTGGTAGCTCAACGTCCGAGGATATTCGTGGGGGTGGTGGTGATGATAAGCCCCATGCTAATTTACAACACAGAGGTAAAAAAACTGACTGGATATAGGTCAAAAACGTACATATTACAATACAGCAAATTGAATATTTCATAATTTTACAAATTTCCAGATTCTCAAATGAGTGAAAGTTACTTTGAGCCAAGGGATGCACACGATGCTTCGTTAAATAACTTGGCAAAAAATATGTTTGAAAAGACAGCAGAATATTTGCAAGGGGAACTTTTACTGGTTCAGGTAACCACCAAGAACTTTAATAAAACACTAAAATAAAATAATTACCAATGTCAAATAATTTGTAAAACATAGGAAGATTACAAACTCCTTGAAAACCTCAACAAAGCGACCGCAGCAAAGTATTCAGACATGAGACAAATTTCCGCAAATGTTGGAAAGAGTCTTCATGAACTCAATGATAAGTGTAAGTACAATAACTTATCGACACATAATAAATAAATAAAATTTCTTTAACCCAAAATTGTATGTCTACATTACAGACCGAAGTCTCGAACCCCTGCTCCTTCAAATCGACCAAATTGAAGACAGTGTAAATAAACTTGAACAAGCAGCTTATAAATTGGACAGCTATTCGAAACGACTCGAAGGAAAATTCAAAACGTTGGAAAAAAGACAATAGAATAGAATTTACCAATTTTATAAAGACATAACATTTATCATCATCACTATCTGCACTGAATAATGTCATATCTTCATCTTCGCTATTATTTTGCGTTTTTCGAGTCTACTAATTTATTTACAGAATCGTTTCCTATTTTACATTTTCAAAAAATATTCGTATTTGCAACATCTCATGTTATGTACGACTTTTACACGATAAATATTGTGAGGGCTGAGCCCGAGTTGACTAATAAAAATAAAAATATTAAACTTCAAAAAAAATTTTTGAAATTTGTCAAAAATTGATTTTGACAAATTACGGAAATAATATTATTTACGTGGAGAACAAAGAGATTTTAGTGCACCTTGTGATCTTCACATGCCCCTCGTTCCGCTCACCTTTGAATCTGACTGCATAACACCACATCAACAAACAAAAGTTCTAAATTTTCTTTTTGAGCTACAAAATGTTGTAAAAACTTGAAAATATCAATTGATTAGTAAAATTGGTAGTATAACGGGCTAACTATTGCGCCTGATAAAATAACTGCTTTAAGGTAAGTGTAAGAAGCAGTGTAAAAGAATTTGCGATTGTTTAATCAAATTTTTAATAAAATGATTCTTCTATTTTGCAGGACAATTAAATAAAACCGATTGAGAACATAGTTAGAAAATGGGCGAACAAGTAACTGTAGACAAGCTTTACCACAAATCATGGTAAATGTCATTTTAGAACTGTTGATTAGATTGTGTTTTTCAGGTGTTAATTATTTATGCCCTAATTATTTATTAATCATGTCTGAATTGCAGGTTAAAACCACTGGGCTTACCGACACTCCTCTTTGTTCTGTACGTACCTATTGGAGTCTGCCTTTTGATAATCAGAGCATTCATTCTCCTACAATTCTTTCTTTTGGGATATGTTCTTCCACCCTCAAAGTTCCGACAGTAAGTAGGATTTACTTTTAATATGCTATTTAATTGTTGCCTTATTTTAATTTGCAATTCTTGTTTTTTCTTAAGAAAATGTCTTCGAGTAATGAGCGGTGTATTGGGAATTTCCATTTCGTCCGAAGGGGAATTAAGCCTGGGAGCAGGAAAAATTTATGTTGCGAATCATATTACGAGCTATGACCATTTTGTAATACATTTAACCACGAATGCCATTATGGTAATACGCCAATTAATCCGTTAATTATCACTACTATTATTAATGTATTACTAACTAATCTGATTAATTTCAGCCAAAAAAGGAGAAAATTGCAAGCATCATCGCGAAACCGTTCGGTCTAGTTGAAATGGATTTCGAGTCTTTTTCCAAGGAACAAATTGATTCGTCAAAGGACACCTTTATCCTATTCCCCGAAGGAGAAACTACCAACGGCGAAGTTGGCGTTCTGGCTTTCTCTACCGTTCAGGTCCCCGTGGGGGTTACGATTCAACCAGTTGCGATCAAAGTGTCCAGACCGTTCCTTAACACGACAGCCGTCAGCGGAAAAGGAGCCTTAGAGTTGCTGATTCTCCTCTTCAGTCCTAATACACATTTTGTTTTAAAGTAATTCCTCTATAAACACTAAATTCCTGTTCGCAATTACTAATACTTGTACCAATTTCACAAATAGATTCTTGCCACCTCACACTGCAGACGAGGAAGGTGCTTGGAAACAAAACATGCAATCGGAAATTGCTCAATCCTTAGGGCTAAAAGCAACCAAACTTAATGCCTCCGACAAAGCCGAATATCTCAAAAGATTGTACTTTCGACCTCCAAGTTTGGCCACCATGACGCGTGAAGTCCAAAGAAAACTTGCGCCCCAAACTATTTCCCCAGAATTAATAATTGCCACGCTTCAGAGAACCGGTTCTGTTGAGGCGACCCTGGAAAGCATTCGTCAAAGCAATATCACCGGTGGGATAAATCCTCCACCATCCACATTTTCGAAATCCGCGTCCCAAAGAATGATGACGTTTCAGGAAAGAAAAAGAATCATGATTGCCACCGCGAGACAGAAATACATTGAAAAGCACAACCTGACTATCCCCCCGTTATAAAATCAATCAAACTCCACTCGTCCACCCCTCCTTCCCCTCAACACACATCAAACTAAACGGTTAAAATGGAACTCACCGAAATACCGAAATACTTAGACTGATTTTTTAAGAAGAAGGGAAACATACATAGAAAGAAATCGCCATATACATACATACGCGTCTTAAATAATAAGAAATGAAATGACTATATATCTCACTCACTCAATATATTAGTGAAACGAAAACGTTGCTGTTAATTAATTGGAAGTATAAAACGATTCATGTTTTCCCTCTCTATTCAAAATTATCAACTTCAGCAGATTGTTAATAATCCTAATAAGTTTTCGGTGCTCGTGTTGTAGTGGAAGTAGAAATTGTGTTATGATATTACATATTATTAATTATTATTAACACCCGTGATGGATAATTAATGAGTTTGTTTCATTTCTCTTCATTTAAAAAGTATTGAGTTGAATTTTTAATCCAGGTTAAAATGTTTAACAAATCTTCTGAATAAATGCAGAAGTTGCAATAAAAATCTAAACAAAGGTACTTAAGTCAACGATAACACTTGATTTTGAAGGTCACTATTTTGCATATATGACGATTTACTAAATTACAACTAATTTACCATTCACCGACTAGCTTTTACTTTTCTTCTCGCTTAAAACCGGAATTTCTGGAGGATTTCCGAATATTTCACAGAATCTCTCGCTGTCATAAATGGTCCCATATTTAACAGTGATCCTCATAACATATTCTGGATCAGAGTACAGTTTCAGTTGCACATACGCGTCAAGAGTGTTGTCGGGAAGGTCGGTGAATGGGACGAAATCCGTCTTTGGCAAGAATAAAAGATGGCAAACTTAAACCTACATATTCTCCGCTGATAGATTATAGCGATGATAAGTAGATTCTTACCTTTTGATAAATTTCGTCAACCCTGCGGATAAGGTTCAAAATCGTTATAATTCAATTGCTAAAAATATAATACGCAATATTTTATGCAAATAACCTGGTTCCCCAGAAGTTCATATGCGCGATACGGACAATCTCAGGATCCTTATCCGTCACGTACATTATTCCGATCAGATTAGTGACCATGTTTCCCATGATGTAAAGCATAGCACCTTTAACCAAATTAAATTATTATGTCTATAATTAAACACGAATAGAAATAGATAACAGAATATTCCTGTGCCTTCTTACATGCTGCCATACAACCACATCCAATAACGCTAAACACGTCGGGGGACAGGTATCCCGTCAAAGTTGAGAAGAAGCCGATGGGAAGGGCGATAAAACAAGAAAATACCGTTTGGTAGATTTTCATGCGCTGTAATACCTGCAAAAGTCATAAGAAATATATATAGCCTTATCTTTTAATTGAATAGTTAATTATCTCTCTCACCCTGACTAGTACGATGTTGTGAAATCGGTAAATCGTGATCCAGTCCGCCTCATCCCCTTGGAATTGCCGACTCTCTTTGGGTAATTCCAGAAGTCCGGCAAAGGGTCCTCCCTTATCTGCTGGGCTCTTCGACTTTTCATTCGAAATGTTTTTATCCCCACTTGAACTCGAATAATATAAATGACCCCCATTTTTATAATTAATCAGAGCCGGACGGTTATTATTGTTAATTAAGGAGATAGATCTGCTGTGATTAACGAACTTTATATAATTGCAATTGCAAACTTGTTGCGAAAATGGTTTAATTGGACTGTAATAATGGCTAAACACACCAAACCGGTACATTACACGCCTACCTTGTAAACATAAATTTAACATTGTGGCAAATTTATAATTTTTCGAAACTTAATTGGACTCGAATTTTGAAAAACAAAACATGTGAATTCAGTCGGCAGCAAATAAATTCATTCGCGGCTTGCATTTGTTTTCCATAATCTTTGTTTGAGATTGTGAAATGCATCAAATTCATGCAAAGCATGTCATAATTTCCTAGATTTTTCCTTAAAGATATGTAAATTATTCGCAAAACAATGCAAATATGAAAATCGTATTAACATTTCGATTTATTACATAATAAAATAAGCTAATATCACAAGTCTTTTAATAATTAAGTGAGAATAAATGACCAACTAAAACTAAACTAAATGACATCGATTAAATCCGCCGTAGCTTTTTGATCTTCTTTTGACGCATTTTGCTTTTTAAGCCGTTTCTTGATAGCCTTCCGAAGAAATATTTTAAACGTTTCTTTAAGAAAGGTTTGCATGAATTTTTTAAAAAATACTTTCAGAAATAGGAAAAAATCCATGCGGGAGCTGACTTATCTGCTGGAAATACATGCATTCGCCCAGGCAATTACATAAAATTAAATATCTCTAATACTTTTCTTATTTAGGTCAATCGCCAAATTTCACTATCATCCATTTCGTCTTATCATCTCCACACCACATTCTTCAGTAAAATCCTGAAAAAAAATCAAGATAAAGTTGAAATTTCACATTTTTTAATAAAGAAGAAATTTTTTCATAAAAATTCAACATTTTTACGATAAGCCTATCGACTTACCGTTCAGTTCACAAACACTTTCCAGATACACAAAAATCTCCAACAATGCAATCAGCTTGCGATTTGCAACGCCCGTCCTTCCTGTACCCGTACTCGTACAAGTTCGGTACACCGATAACAGCCACAACCAGTACCAAAAATATGACCAATAGGACGCCCAAGTTTCTCGACATAATGCAAACTGATGCTGGGCAAAATTTGCAAATGAGCACTATCATAATAGCATCAAGACAATTTATAACGTTTCTACCAACGAGTGATTAAGTAATCCATCCAATAGGCAAATTGTAATGTGATGATTGGTATAATGAAAGAGGTCATTGTTAAGAACATTTTAATATGCGGAAGATTTTTCAAGTGAAGTAATCCCTTCTCTTGCAAATTATGAAATTACAGTAAAGTGGTAAATAAATGGGACGGGGCACAATTTGTACCTATAATTAAGTACACAAGAGGTTATAAAACGATGGTTGGTGAATGTCACGTCATGATTGTTACTCGTCTAATCATCATCTACACACACATTTAGGTAATTCTAGATGTTGTTGTCTTGTTTGTTGAGATGAACAACTTGATTTATTGCACTTCATTTTTTAATCCCATTTGTCCCACTGAATGAAATCTTTAGTCGATGCTGCGGAAGGTGGATATGCATTTATGAAAAATCCCTGAAATATGTATTTACGAAAAAATGCCAAAATGTTTACGAAATAGAAATATGGAGCAAGAAAACTATAAAACTAAAAATGTTTGCAATAAATATTTATATTTTCCAATTATGTAGTGCCGTGAATTTTTTCATTTTTGTGGCCCAATTTCTTTGAGCAAAAAAATCGTCTCACATTGTTGAAATATTTAAAAATATTTGCATTTCAAAAATTCTAAAATGTCACCATATTTTTCAAATAATAAATAGTGGACATATATTTATAAATGTCTGAAAACCTAGAAATAAATATGTAGCAATATGTAAAACTATTTTGAAATGTTTATGCGAGTTGGGAACACACCCAAAAAATTTGACCATCGGTCGTCATCAAATGAAAAAACTCGAAAATAAATACATAGCCGCCCTCTGGCCATCAGTAGCTGTTTGTATTTAGTATTAATTTTAGTTTATTACTCGTTACAAAATTGTTAATATATTATTTGTCACTTATGTAAATGACTACTGTTTGTGTGCTTACATATGTATATAAATAGCTGTAAATGACAATTTCCAAATTAAGAATAAATCTGCAACGTAAAAACTTACTACACTACGCATCCCATCAAGTTGTTTGTTACATATTAATTGGCCAAGACCCCTATTGATGGTCAAGTGGATGCAAACGACACTTGTTCTTGCGACACTACATACAATTATTATTGATTGTTCGATTGCCTATTTCATTGCAGTAGTCATATGATATTTGCGCAAATTATATAATATCCAAATCATGCGTTATTACAATAACAACAAAAATTAAACCTACTGTGTGTCAATCAATACATAAGCAATAGGCCACACAATTAAACAAACACGCATAAGTACATAGTCTCCCAACGTATCCTCTCAAAATTTGACCAAATTAGTATCAGTCCATTACAAATTTAAGCAGTATGAAATTCGCAAAGACGCCTCCTAATGGGTGCGTCTTCTCCTTTTTGGATGTAAATATCGAAATCGTGTCGTTTGTCGATCACAAATTTAATTACTATGAAATGTATCAACGATAGATACTAATTTGGACAAAATCTGAGAGCATACGCTGGGAGACCTCCCTTGTCAGGAGGATATTGTAAAATTGTCTTCTTGCTTCACCGAGTCAATAGTAGAGAAAACACGAACGGCATTCCTGCAATATTCATTAAATTTATTGATTAAACCGATAGAATTAGGGATATAATTAAGCGTTGTATGGTAACTTGTAAATGTACTTACATGTAATTACATGTACAAATCGTCTCAAATGCATCGTCCCGACGCGCAGAAATCCCCCACGACGCAATCCGCCTGTACTTGACACCAGCCATGGCGTCGTTTCTTGAAATAACGGTGGTGGTAATACTGCCCAGATCCTGTCTTATCGTGAAAATTTTTCGACTCTATTTCTACCAGGTAACATACCAGGATCAAAACCACTATCCAAAAAATAAGCGTGCTCCACATTTCTCAGAAGAATCAAATTGAGACACACAGATTTCGATTTCAATCATCAGCGGAACACAGGTTGCGATGAACAGAATCGATTCTTCCAAATTGTTACACCTTTTATACGTCTACATATTTATGTAGCACGGAAAAGGAAAAGTTAACACCATTTTAAAAATTGCCTGTTAATGACGCACTAAATCCTACCACACCGGAAGTTATCTACATTTTCATTTCATATATAACACATCATTCATACGCAGTGGCCGCGGAAGCCGTGGGGACATCTGGGGACATTAACATTGTGGGATAGGGGAGAGAGGGGTTTATGTAAGATGGGCATATGTATGATGGGGAAATCGAATACTCGTGGGGACATTGTCCCTTCGTCCCCACGCTTCCGCGGCCACTGAACATTCCACTTCAATCAAGACTCGATTCGAAACAAAAATGTAAAATAACGTGTTCACACTATTTTTATTTGTAACAAAATCAATCCTGCAAGGTTGTCCCCTAAAACAAAAATACGTACACACAACAAGTTACAAATATATCTATCAAATGTAAATAAATAAATAAATACACATTAAAAAAATGCTATTATTGAGTCTATTCAGCGATATGTAAATAGATTAAGATTTTCATCATGTTTATTTTTCATTCTGGTCGATAACTAACTGTCTCTCTGAGCAAGCCCATTATCGACTAATCAACTTGAACTCTCAAAATAAGCAGGTATATACTCACACGTGTGTACACTCAATCTGCTACATAACCCCATGAAATGAAATGAAAGCAGAAATTATTTACGATCTTATCTTATTATATAACAAACCCAACTTTCAATTTAGCCGAGTTACATATTTATTAATTACGATAAATAATAAAAAAACAGACACATAATTTAATTACTAATTAACTCCTCAAATGCACTCCACATAATGAAATGAAACCAGTCACCAGTATGAAAAATCATAAAAAAAGGGATAATTTATTCAATCTGTTAACACGTGTCATTATTATTTGTTGTAGATTACAAGATGCCCCCTCCCCAAAAATATACAAGATTTATCATCATCCATTCAATAAAGGAACTACTTTCACAGGTAGATGATACATACATATTTCTCATTTTTACCTGCATATCCATACTCATTATTAGCATACGTACTCATTATTATCGATACACAAAATACAATCACTATGCTACACACCACCACAGGATCAGGCCACAACTCATCACGACATTAATAATATTTCTTTCCCAAGAAATCTCTACACATGACATGACACGTACGTACGGGGGGAACACGGGTTTTAATGAAAATGGGTCGGATAAAACCAGAATCGGGTAGCATGCCACGAGTCAGTTCTCATTTCAGCACCCTCCTCCTCGCACAATAAAACCTCTCGTGTTCCTTCCTCCTGTCCAAAGTTTTTCGAAACCCAAAAAACGTATCGTCTTCCAAAAAAATTGTCAAAATGTTATACCCGATTTATAATTTTGCACACTTTTTCGGTCTCAAAATGCTGTAACAATTCCTCATTTTTGAAAACGCCAACAAGAAACATGCATTAACACATATTTTGCAAATCTTTTACCCGATTTCTAATCTTGTACACTTTTTCCATCTAAAAATGCTGTAACAAATTCCTAATTTAAAAAAACGCCAACAAAAAACATATATCAACACACATTTTTTGCACTTAAATGATTACACAAACATGAATTTTGGAACGGCTTCCGTTTCCCCATCCGGCGATTTTAGATTGTTCATTCCACAAGCCCAAAATAGGCGAAGAAAATCCGACCAACGTGAACCTACCAGCATTTTTCTCGAACCAAATCCTCCCCCAAAGTTGAAGTTGCCTTCGAAAAAGAATATTGGGCGGAATGGGAATCAAAGTGACCTTGTCGTGGAATTGGTGCAGAGCCAAAGTCAATTAAATCATAATAATAGCAACAATCCCCACAAGAACAAAAGACCACATTCCTCCACTCCGTATCAGCATTCTCGCTCGTTCGGCAGCGTGGAGGAAGATGTGCATCGGACAAGTAACCAATCCGTCGTCGGAGGGTATTCTGGTGGTACTAAAATGTCAATAAACCAGCCCAGATTGCCCGACATTACGATGATTAACAAATACTATGGGTTAGTCCCGAAAAAATTTACAGTTCATTCCAGACAAGGATACGGGAGTGAAGATTACAGGTAAATAAGGAGGAAATTTATTAGTTTTGCAGTAATTTAACGAAACGTGGGCAAAGTATCTATGTCAAAATACAATATTTTGTGCCTCGTTGTTCTCAGGGTTTGGATTTCTGGGACCGTTACAGCCACAAATAGACGATGAACTGCATGGAGAATACAGCAGTGTTACGAAAATACAGATTTTTTGAACAAATTAACTATTTAGCCCTGTCAAAATACATTATTCTCGCAATTTTTTGCAAGTAAAGTACTTTGACAGGGATAAATAGAAGTTAATTTATTCACAAAACCTATATTTTCATATACATAAATTGCCAATCCATGATTGTGCATGGTCTTCTTCATGCAAATTCTCGTCTTTTTGTGGGTGAAAATCCAAACCCTAGTAAAAATGGAGCTCGAAATACTTCATTTTAGCATAGCCCACCCCTGAATTTTACAGAATTTGCGTATTTAATGATTTTTAATCCCTCTAAATTACCCTAATTCCAGAAAACTCCGAGCCAAAACAGCATTTCGCTCCTCGAAATCCATCCCCACAAAGAACTCTTCTCTCGACGATGGACACTCCGGTTCTGGTGGTTCCGACACAGAGTCCAACGAACCCACGTGGGGTAAAAATGGTCACAGAAAACGGAAGGATGCCGGAAACAGCTTAATAAACTCCAACCTTCGTGACATCAACTCTTCCGAAAACTCAAATCAGAGCCTCCAAACGCGCAAAATATCTGTCGAGCGACAAAACAAACTGTTGAAACATAGAGGACGAAGCTCCTCTCTGCCTTTGACGCCGTCCTCAAAAGGCGAAAATTTCGCCAAAAATGCCAATTCCAGCCCAACCAGAGAAAACCAACGCGTCATTAAAATCGACCTGAGCAACATGAGCTGGGAGGAAACGTACTGCCCGAGCAGTTGTTCCCCAGTGGATGGCACAGATTGTCCCTCCCCCGATTTGCATACAGACAACAGGCTCATAGAAAATAATAATTATGATAACAACGGTAACACGACAAAGAAAACAATAGCTTATCAAGAGTTAAATTTAGCAAAAGCTGACACGAAAAGCGCACAATTTACTGACTCGTTATTATTGTTGGAGGCTGAAAAAACGGCTCAAGTGGTCCAAGTGAGAGCCGCCGGAAGTTGTGAGATTGAGCGTGATAACGATTATGGTCCTCCTCTCAATCGACCTGTCACCTCGATAAACAATCAAGCACAACACCTTTTTGGTCAATCTTATCCAGAAAAAATGAAAACTGACAGCAGTCACAAGGCTGACTTGGAAAAAGACACAGTGCAAAATTCAACCTGCGAGGAGAGCGTGTTCGAAATGGTGAATTCTGGAATTTCAAATAATTCAACCGCAAGGAGAGAAAGGTTACGGAAAAATATTAGTTTTGACGAGCAGATTTTACTTGCTTCGCATGAACTCGGCAGTGGTGCTGGTAAGTCAAATAAAGCCAAGAATAATTATCAGTGGGTGGATAAGTATTTACGGAAAATCGCTTAAATACGTATTTAATATTTACGAAAAAATGCCAAAACATACAAATCAGAATTTCCAGTCATATTGTTTGAATTATTACTTAAAGTTTTTTGTGGCAATTTTTTTGAGCAAATAAAAAAAATCGCCTCAAGTTGTTGAAATATCTACAAAATAAAATATGTAATATATTTTTTATTGTCCAAAATATATACGTGGTTTCCAAAAAACGAAATAATTTGAAATATTTATGTCTGAAAACGTAAAAATATATGTGACAATTTTTGTGAAATTTTTGTCAACTATAAGTGCTAGGGAATACACTCAAAAGTTTGACCTTTTGCCGTCATAAAATTGAAAAGTTGTAAATAAATTCATATCCGCCCTCTGATAATAAACATTTAATTTATATTTACGTACATATGCATATCCTGTTGCATTTACAGAAACCAATCCCCCCAAATCACGCCGACCCACCACCGCCTCCCCATCTTCACAACGTCCCATTCCCCCCACCACCACCAAAACCCCCCTGTCTCAACAACACCTACCCTCCAAAATTCTACCCTGGACGCAAAAATCAGGCAAAACCCTAACTCTGTCCGAACGTCGGGCCAAATTCCAAAAATCCATGTCCATCCATTCCACCGAATCTGCCTCCGCCTCCTCTTTCGACCTTATCGAAGAGTCCTCTGACACAGAAACGTTATCCTCCTCATACCGAACCCCCCCACAAATCGTGCTTCCTCCACCTCCTCATTCGACGACGAGGAAGTCACTCTTCTTCCAACCACCCCCCGAGGTGTCGACCATGGTGGGCCAAATCAGCCCCATCGAGACTCTCGAGATTCAGGTGGAAATCGAGAAAGTTGCCCAGATCCTCAACAACATGCAGAATCAGAATAAAAGTTTTATCGATTTAACCCCCGATGGCTGCTGTGTGGACATTAGTCGTGTTCAGAAAACGGAAACCAACTTGCCTCAAATGACAAATAGTCTTGCGAAAAACTTTGAGACAATTTCGCCAACTAAACCAAAATCCCCAGAAGAAATCAATGATGCCTCTTTCTCCGATTTGAATGGCAATAACTGTTTGCACAAATCAGCAAATTATTTGGCAAATCAAACATTGCTAAAAAAGGAAAGTGGCGATAATAATAATGCAGATTTTAAAGCTAAAAGAGTCCAGGAACCATTAACTTTCACCGAAAAAGTTGGAAACTTTACCGGAAATGGCGTCACTCCTACGACAAAATGTACGAAAAATTCGCCCACTATCACCACCCCAAAGAACCAGTCATGTCCTTGCATCACCTGTAATAACGCGACCCCTGCTGCGGGGTCCTTTGTGACAAATGTAATTCCCACAAAGGTTGTGCAAATTCCTTTCAGACCACCGCTGAAGAAAGCAGTTTCCATTTCATGCGAAAAAGACCTCTTCCCAACATCTGCCAGTGCAAATAATGAGGTTAATGGAATTTCCAACAAAAGTTCCCGACCCAGAACGGCAGTGACTTCAAAGACTTTGACCAGAACCTCATCAACGCCTTTGATTCTTGTTCAAAACAAGACAAACCATCCGTCCAAGAACAGTGGCCAAAATGTAATTCAAATCCAGTCAAGACAGAATAAAGGGAATAAGGATAATAATAAAAGTCAATGTCAACCCACAAATCAAAATCCGGGGTCAAATTATACTACGCGAAAACTCCTTTTGAAGAAAGCCTTGATGGAAATTAATCAGTCGGTGGCTCAACTCGGGAATAAAAAATGGATTTCTTCCATGGGACGACCAAAAACTGCGCCTTCGATTGATCATGGTGGTAATAAAGGGGGAGGAGGTGGAGGGGACGCCACAAAGAAATCCAATGTTTCTCTGGATCAGAGGAGACAACCGTTGAAAACGTAAGGATACTTGCATTCAAAGATAATAAATGTGCATATCAGATCAGGGTTTCGTTGCTTGCGGGTTTGCCACATTTCTTGCACTGCAAAGCAAGAGGCGCAAGAAATGCGAGGTGCAAGAAACTGGGAGAAAGTGCAAGAAATATGGGCCACGCGCCGTATGAAGTATGCGCGGTGGGGCGTCTTTTCTTGCGCCGTGCATTTCTTGCAGGTCAAAATAGCTGCAAGAAATCAATTTCTTGCATTTAGTGATACGTTTCTTGCTGGTTTGTCACATTTCTTGCACTGCAAAGAAAGCAATGCAAGAAATTAAAGGTGCAAGAAACTGGGAGAAAGTGCAAGAAATATGCGCAATCAAGCCACGCGCCCTACGAATTACGGCTACAGGACGTAATTTCTTGCACCTTGCATTTCTTGCAGGTCAAAATACCTGCAAAAAAAACACCCTGCTTTCTTCCCTTTATTTTTTGCAAGTCGTTAATACTTTCCCCCGAAACCCTCCTGCATACAAATATCCATCTTGACTTTGATTTTCAAGGTTCTAATCACAATTTTTGATACACTCCTTCTTTAACTATTCATACATTCATATTTCCGATAATTCAATTGGAAATGTGCATGTGTGCCTGGATTTATTTTATGTGAATGCATTTTCCCACTAATTTCCCTTCAAACACGATAATCCAACATAATGGGATGGGAATGAGGTCGTAAATTATAATGACTGACTGACTGGGAATCGGTCATCAGCCAGCTTTTGTCATCCACGACGACGACGACGACGACACGATATCTCTTCCAAACGTCTCTCGTCTTTTGTCACTGCTGGACTGGACCCAAATTGTCATTCGCATTATTATTATTATTATTATTATGACGGCACAATTATGGGCCATTCGTTGACACACATACACAAATAAATTTGTCCTAATCCACAAAAAAAACTTTGTCTCAAGCTTCCCATAAAATGTGACATTATTATCTCCACAAAGTTTATCTTATCATACTTGTTACAAAACTATTGTACCATCCAAGCAGGTCATAACACACATATTTATGTCTCATCGTGGTTGGTTTGGTAGAGGAGATACATAGAATCTATTATCTTTGACATATTTAAGAAAAAAAGAGTCATCTTAATTGCACTTTGTCACGAAACGAAGGCACTCTCCGTCCCCCACGGTGCATACTTATTAGAAATTCATCTTCTGTAAAGAAAAAAAATAGACAAGATAATTCCATTCAAAAAAGTGTATTTACTTTACTTTTGCAAGAAGGGAAAGCTCTTTTTTATGCCAAAATTTTTATTATATTTTCCATTCTTTATCGGCGTTTTATAGACAATTTCAGTCGCATTTTTTCATACGTATGAAAAAAAAATCATAGCTTGACAAATGAATGAATTTCAATCACTAACCTGGCACGGGTAATGGCATGTCGCCCCGTGTCACCCACCCCCCATTCATGAAGACAAACAAATTACCTCAAATTACTTAGGGAGAAACTTACCCAAAGGAAATGGACGTATGCATGCTCAAGAAGAAAGTTGTATGCAAGTAGGAATCGAATACTGTATCGAAATCGAATACCACGGACTTTCGATTTAATAAAACTTTCAACAGCTCCCATTCTCATTCTTTTATATGTACGTAGGGACACATTATATGCAAATGTATGTATGTACATGTAACTGACATATGATACATACCTAAATATTTGTACATATATTCAGCAAGAAAGGCGTTGAAAATCGTACACATGGCATGCAAATGGTATATAGGCATCACTTTAATAATTCCGGAAAGATTATAAATTATATATTACTGTACCAAGATATATGCAGAAAATATTATGTAAAAGCACATTATCCAAGTTATACATACCCGTGAAAGACTTGCATTACAAGTGCAATGCAAATCAGTGGCCGCGGAAGCTGTGGGGACATGTGGGGACATTACCACTGTAGGAATAGGGGAAGGCGGGGTTTATATAAGATGGGGAGATGATGGGGGCATCGAATAACCGTGGGGACATTGTCCCTCTGTCCCCACGCTTCCGCGGCCACTGCTCTTTTGCTATTATCATTACCATAGAAGAACATGTACATACAGTGGCCGCGGAAGCCGTGGGGACATGTGGGGACATTAACGTAACGGGGGAGGGAGGGGTTTATATAAGATGGGCAGACGATGTGGACAACGAACAACTGTGGGGACATTGTCCCTCTGTCCCCTCACAATCTTCCGCGGCAACTAATACAAATTCATACCCACCATCATTTCGTGACACCCGATATTACTACAACCTGCTTTCTCTTTATCGAACGACAGATCCCCGGCAACATTGACGGGAGCAGGGAACAAACCCGGACAGCTCGTGGGAACCAAAGCCATTCCCAGCACAACCATGGGCCGGAAAACAACGGACCATGCCATCAAACAAACTTCCACCTCCTCCTCCAGCGTGGGACCCGGACATAAAAGTGAGAATGGAGTTGGTGAAAGCAGTGAAAGCGAGAAAATTGGTCCAGCCAAACGCACCCTTCACCGACAAAGTTTCTCCCTCGACGAGGGAATGCTCCTCGGCTTCTCGAACAAGGAGTTTGGCTGGAGTTCAAACTCTTTCGACAAGTTGGTCGATGAATCCAGGATGGACGACGCGTTCCAATCTTCAAAAAAGAGGGAGGAGTGTTTGAAAATTTATCATAAAATGGCAAAGACCGGCGTCACTGTCAAGCTGGATACTATTTTTCGGTAAATATTTTGAATGACTAATTGAAAAAATAGTCTAAGTCATCACATTTTTAATCAGCTCTGGGAATTTATTTAAAAATTCTGAACCACAAATTTGTAGAATATGGAGTTTCAAATTTAAGAAAAATGTACACTCCAGATTTTGACACTTTTTGAAGTAGGAGATTTCAAGTTTCAGAAATCTTCAGAAAAATTGGCACTCGTCAAAACTGGAAACAAATTCACCGGCATTCTATTAATCAATTTACCGACTACAAATTTATCGTCCAGAATTTTAAAATAAATTCCCAGAAGCTTAAAAATGATTTAAAATGTGCTTATTTTAACGATTTTGTCGACACATTTGATCATGTATTGATAATTAATTCACATTTTATCATTTTTTAGCGGAATAATGACGCCCTCCGAATACCGCGCGTTTATCAAGGCTGCCGAAAATGCGGCGAGAGAACTAGCTGAAACGGAAGCAGAAGAAGTAATAAATCCACAAAATGGAAACGTCGATGTTGACGCTGGCGTCGCATCTTCCGTCAAACAGAACAAGACAGCAGAATCTGAAGCCAATAAATAATTACGTACAATGAGAGAATAGAATTAAAATAAGAATCTGCTAAAAATATATCATGTCATTTACTTAAAGTAATCAGATCCAACTGTATTTGTATGATGTTAGAATTTGCTGGTTCAAATCTCATAATTTGTAATATTCTCTATTAGGAAAAAACAGGCTGTGTAGTTCAATTGTCAATTGTGACGGCAAGAATAAACTATTTAATTATTTTAACGAATCAAATTGTGCACCTTGTACTTTGGACAAGAAGATGAAAGGTATATGCTATTATTATAATACTTATGACAATTATTATTAATAATGTACATCAATTGACATAATGCAAATCATGGTGACCTTCAATCTCGCCTGGTCTGTAGCAGAATGACGCTACACAATGTATTTACTTTGCATTATGCAACAACTTATGGAACTTGCTTTATGAATAACGTTTGTTTTCAACGTTTTAACACTGCTGAAATCCCAATCACGCATGGATTCCATGATAAATATTTACATATCATTTTAATGCATTAATAAACCCTCCAAACGAATATAAAAAAGTAGCGTCAGAGCGATCCAAATTTCCATTAGAATTATCCCATATCCCATGACGGCGGACAGACCGACGGACAGACGGACGGACAAAACGATCACAATAAGTAGCTGACGCTACTTAATAACCATTATGATGGTTTGTTACACCTAATTATCTAATTGACTTCTCTGAGGAGAGATAATATTATGCACTTGACCTTTAATGATGTACACACGTGACATGTGTAATGTAAATATGTATACGTGCTACACATAAATACGTTTGGAAGTTGGACTTAATACTGACCAGGTCGGGAATCATCCATGTGATACATCCATCCACAAAAAACTGGAATTCATGGTCAAGCGATTCACCGGCAAGCATATTTATGTATGTACATTTATCTCTGCAGGATAATAATAATAACACCACGTCTGCATAAATAATTCTGCATTTACTCACTGCTGATTTACTTAATACGTGCGGTTGCTGCATTTCAGGAGACATTATCGAATCATAACAAGTAAATAATAATCCTCCAAAATGCGTTCCCTTCCAACAATTTTGTTCCTCTTTTCCGCAATACTTTTACAAATTTCGACCTCCCATAAAATCCTGGTCGTGTCCTTCTTCTCGAGCAAATCCCACAAAATCACGTATTTCCCCCTCCTCGAAGAATTAGCCTCGCGTGGGCACGAAATCACGATAATTTCACCCGTGAAACCCTTCAAAACGGTGCCCAACATTACGGAGATCTTCACCCTGGACTTGGAAGCCATCATGGCTGGAAAATTTGACCCGTACAAACTCAAAAAAGAAGGCAAAGGGATAAACCCATTCCTTATCTTGGAAGAATTTGGCCTGCCCGATATTTGCCGGAGATCCTACAACCTGCCCCAAGTTCAGGGCGTCTTAAAAGAAAGCTATGACCTCGTCTTTATGCAGCCCTTATTTAACGAGTGTGCCCTTGGCATCGTTTACCGCCTTAAGGTCCCCTTGGTCCTCTTTTTTCCGACCAATGTCCCCAATTTCTTGGCGCAGAAGATTGGAAACCACTTTCCTCCGTCCTTTGTGAGCAATGTGTTCCTGGGTTACGGGGATGACATGACCTTTTACCAGAGATTTGTCAGTTTTGGGGCGAACGTGATGATTGACGCTATTCTACGATTTTATTACGAGCCGTACATGTCCTCCATTTACAAGGAGCAGTTGGGACAAGACATACCGGAAGTGACGGAGATCTTGGGGAACGCTTCATTGATATTGAGCAATGGTCACTTTAGCCTTTCTCGACCAAAGCCATTCCTCCCGGATATTGTTGAAGTGGGTGGAATTCATTCCAAACCGGCGGTACCATTGCCAAAGGTATGTACATATCTACATTCTCGTACTTATTCAAAATTCATACTTATTTACTATGTTCGTACTTAGTTACTTGGAAATATCAAAATATTTTAAGCTCCGTTCTTCCCAGGGTTTGGATTTCCAGGGCTGTTACACCCACAAAAAGATAAAAATCTTCGTGGAGAATACGACAGTCATACGAAATTAGTGGTTTTTAAGAAATTAACTTTTTATCCATGTTAAAATACTTTATTGTTTAAAAAAATCGTGAAGACAATGTATTTTGAAAGCGATAAAAAGTTAATTTCTTCACAGAGCTTGTATTTTCAAAGACTGCTGTCTTCCCCATGCAGATTTTCGTCATTTTGTGGGTGTAACGGTCCTGAAAATCTAAACCCTGGAAGAACGGAGCTCAAAATGCATGCTCTATTTTGGCAAAATATGTTCTCCACTTTTGAATTTAAATTGGAAATTTTCCAATACAAATTTTAAAAACATGACTACAACGACGAATAAATAAGTCCAACCTCCCTGATTGTTTTAGGACTTGGAAGAATTTGTCGCCAAAGGTGGCCCCGAAGGCTTCATCTTATTCAGCATGGGATCAGCTATTCCAGGAAATATGATGCCGGAAGCGAAACGCAAACTATTTCTGAACGTCTTTTCCAAGCTGAAACAACAAGTTTTGTGGAAATGGGAGTCCGGCGACATGCCCGATCTCCCAAAAAACGTGCTTCTGAGCAAATGGTTGCCCCAGCAGGACCTCTTGGGTCATAAAAGCATCAAAATGTTTATCACGCACTGCGGTGGGGGCAGGTATACAATTTTCTCATATACCAATCAGCTCTTCGTCTAACAGGAGTTTGAATATTTTAGCACTGAAGAAGCAATTTATCACGGCGTTCCACTTCTCGGGTTAGTGTGCAAATCTTGTCTAAATTAACGTACAATGGAGGTCTCCAACTGTATGTGCCCAGATTTTGAACAAATTAGTGTGAATCGCTCACAAATTTAATTAATCTGTCTGTCTGTCTGTCTGACAGCTCATGTTTGACAGAGTAGAGATATTTCCATCCAAAGAGGAGAAAGCATGCAGTAAATTTGAAAAGTGTCAAATTTGTTAACCTTTTGATGCATTTTCTCCTCTTTGGATGCAAACATTCCAAATGTGAGCATTGGGAGATCTTTTGCATATGCATTGAATTTGTGATGGATTGACACTAACTTGGTCAAAATCGGTGAGCATACACTGGGAGACCTGCATTGTAAGTAGTTCAAAACCTCTAACTGATATGTTAAATAGCATCCCAATGCTGGGAGACCAACCGATGAATGCCAAACAAGCGAAAGGTCACGGATTTCTAGTGCAGCGAGAATGGGACGACTTGACTGAGGAAAGTCTGCTGGAAGGAATCAAAGAAATATTGAATAATAAAAAGTAAGCATTATCTTATCATCTAATTATTATGCAGGTCGACTTATCACGAAAAACTGAATTAACGCAGGTACAAAGAAAACGTGCAACGCCTCTCCGTCGTGTTCAAAGACCAGCCTACCACGCCCCTCGAAAGAGGAGTTTTTTGGGTCGAATACGTCATGAGACACAAAGGTACGCAGATTTAAAATTCAATTAGAAATCTGGTATAGTCAGTCACGCAGGTATTAATTTCTCGGTATTAAAGCTCTTATCGCTTGGTAATAAAATTATGTCGGTTCGTAAAAGTTTGCTACCGACCGATATGGCAAACCTTCAATACCGAGCTACATATTACTTATCAATCCCAGTTTTATGTTCTCTTCACTATTAGAAAAATTCATAATATGTATTTTTTATAAAACATTGTAAAATATGAAACGTCTGCATAGAAAAAGGACCTACAATATTTCCAAGAATTACGAAAAGTCAAAAGATTTATCTACCGGTGTTGAACAGTTCCAATTTTTGCAAACATTACAAAGTTAACAATTGTTTGCATAAGTTCCAACTTGAAAAAAAATAATCATCATTAAGTGTCCACTCCGCACTTCCGTGGTGTCGTGCCGGGACAGTAATAAATAATAAGAATAATGTGATATCTGTAGAGTCTGATACCGCTTGGTATTATTTTAGTACCGAATTTGTACATAAGAGTGTACAAAATCATTCGTCAGAAAACCAGGTATAAATATTTCCTACAAAATTGTAAACTTCAATACAGCCAGAAAAGTGTAAATTTTTCGTACAAAATTATGTTCTTGAAAAAAAAACACTTATAAATCTCGTATAGTCAGGTATACATTAATTTCTCCGTATTAAAGTTGCTACCGTTTGGCATTAAAATTATGAGAATTCCCGTATGCAAACTTTACTACCAACTTATTACTACACGGTATTATTTATCAATACTACTTTGGTAGGGCCATACATTAATACCTGTGAATACCGCTTGGTACTATTTTAATACCGGATTTCTAAGAGTGTATATAAAATGTACACTTTAATTAATCACACTTTATTCCAAATACTTCAGGTGCTCTGCAACTACGAAGTGCGTCTCGAAACCTCAATTTCTTCCAGTACCACTCCATCGACGTTATCGGGGCTTATTTGGCCCTTATAGTCGGACTTGCATATCTGGTCTTCGCTATTTTGAGGTTTATCCTCCGAAAAGTTTGTGCATGTTTCGGAAGCGGTTCAAAACCAGGGGTCAACAAGAACTTGAAGAAAACCCAATAATAATTTTCAAATTTCCAAAAATAACCAAACCACTAATTTTTTAAGAAATCTTTGCCATAATTTTTTCTACGCATTTCTCGATAATGAATTTACATTCCAAATATTATATTGACAAATAAAGTAAAACTTGTCCTCGTTTTCCATTAAAACTTTCCCCTCATACAATTAAGTAACTTTTGAGTCTACAATTAAGTACCCTTTTTATAATTTACATATTACCTTTGCACATGCATAATTAAAATGCATACATATTTATGCAAATATGTATGCGAAAATGCATAAATACCACTTAACTTTTATAATTTATTACCTACATACGTATATTCTGCACGTGCATGCATAACTTAAATGCATGCATATTTATGCAAATATTTATACATGAAAACGCATAAGTATGCACCACTTAACATGAAAATGCACTGTACAGATATTACAAGTTATAATTTATAACATAGTCTGTCTACCTGCATAAGTCATCCCTACCTTTAAAGGGCTCCTGTAAACCTTGAATTACGATTGAACCCTTCCTTATTCCTTCAGGGTTCATTGAATTCAAGGCATTCTTAAAATCAAGGTTGCCTCAATCTGAGTCAGTTTACATATAAACTTATGTATACTCTGTTATTTTACATTTGTTTATATATTTTCTTCCAATTACAAACTCATTCACACAAAAATAAATCATAGATAAATAATACAGAGCAGATTTAATAAAAAAAAAACATAATATTGCGCAATACAAGCATTTGTCTTTACAATGGGTGTTTTTTAACCATGTAACTTGATACATCTCACATTCTACAAGTTTGGCAGATACAAAACATTCCAGTAAAACAGCGTGTTTTATGTTCTCTTCATTATATCAGAAAAATTCATAATACGTATTTTTTTACAAAATATTATAAAATATGAAACTTCTGCTACTCAAGTGCCAAAAAAAAGGATCTACAATATTTACAAGAATTACGAAAAGTCAAAATATTTATCTACCGGCGTTGAACAGTTTCAATTTTTGCAAACATTACAAAGTTAACAATTAATTTGCAGAAATTCCAACTTGAAAAGAATAAAAAAATAATCATCATTAAGTGTCCACTCCGCACCTCCGTGACACCGAATCCGTTCGTGTCATGATTTATACAATCGTGCCGTGACAGTAATAAATAATAAGAATAACGTACGATATCTGTGATTGACAGATAAAATAGTTGACAAAATTCGAGATACACACATGCAATCTCGACTTATGTTATATGTAAATCAGGCTAAACTAACAATTCAATGATTCGCATCACATAATAATACGTAATATTTACTGGAATACTATTGCCTCCTCCTTATAAGTAGTGTAACAACGGAACGAAAGATAAGTACTTATGTACAATCAATGCAGTTCATATGCATGTACTCTACTCATGGTGTTACTTTTATCTCAAAAAAATGTGACAATTGACTTTGACTTATCTTAACTCATACGGCGACTATACACATCCATAAATACCTCATCAATCTATATGCGACTTTTTAATACGTGTCGTGCCCTTCTCCGTCAACTCGTATCGTGTCCTTTCTACCTCTTCCGACGACACTGTTGTAGCCGAAATCATCGTCATAATCTTGCAGACAGCAGGCCCCTCTTGGGACGGTCGAGGACCAGTAATTTATCTGCTGGTGGGGGTCACTGTTTCGACATGGCGTGTTGTGCCTCGGGGGACAAACAGTTCCAAAATGTGTTGCTGTTAAGTATTTCATTCATGCTAATTTTTACGTCATTCCAGACGATGGGAAACATTGAGCAGACCGTGTTGAAAAGTATGGATTTTTTATTCAGAAAATTATATATATTTTTGTAATTGACGTGTTATTAATTTAGACTCTGTATAATTCACAGGTATTCAAAACGACACGCCAGGATTTAATGGGGATGGGTACACTTCATTGTCGATAATTTATGGAGTATTTTCCATATCTAATTGGCTCGCACCGTCAATCGTGGCGTTATTTACGGCAAAGTACATAATTTATTCTTCATTTTCACTGAAGTCTCTTTACTTAAACCCCACTCTGCGAATTACTGATATTATGTAAATGTATGCAGGTATTCCATGATTTTTGGGGCCGTGTTATACACAGCGTTCATCGCCAGGTAAAGTTTGATGAAAATAATAATGTAACATCCGGTGCATACTTATAAAATATTTTGATCCAATTTCGTCCTTAATACATAGTTTCCTTTACCCTTTGACATGGCTGCTATATTTGATGTCGGCCGTGTTAGGATTCGGGGCGGCTGGTAGGTCCACAAAACGTTAATTAAAATGAAAAAGGATGACTTATTTAATTCACACTATATTTTGATTTAGTGATATGGACCGCTCAAGGGAGTTATCTTACCCTGTGTTCAAACGAAATTACAATGTCGCGAAATTCTGGCATGTTTTGGGCCATTTTACAAAGCAGGTATGCACATAGGGACAGAATTCGTAATAAATACCATTATGTAATGATCTTATAGCCATATTTAATGATCTTGATTATCAAATTGTAGTATGTTTTTTGGAAATTCCTTCGTGTTTTGGCAATTCGAGGGCAAGCAAGATATCGACAGATATACTCGCAATCTCGTAAATATTTTATATTTCTGATACAAATAATTTACTTAGAATTTTACACATATTTTCTAAGATTTATTATGAACCGGAAGGTATTCAGCGTCTTAACGGGCGTCGCCGTTGTGGGAGTTGCCGTCATGTGCCTTTTACGAACTCCGCAGTAAGTTTTAAATAATCATGTCCTCGCTACATATTTAATATTTTCAAATGCCTAAAAATCAGTGCAAAAATATTAGATCGGATGATGACCAGGCGGTACGACCCCCTCCTTCCGACGTGCCGCAAGAAGGCGCTCTTACCGCTCTTAAACAAGCCGTCCAGCTCTTCACCCGCCCAAACATGATCCTCCTCGCCTTCACGTTTTTCTACACGGGTACCAATTTAATCCATGATTTAAGACGACCAATCGAGGTCTCCCAGCGTATGCTCTACGATTTGGAGCAAATTAGTGTTAATCGGTTACAAATTTGATACGTATGAAATTTGCAAAAGACACGATCTCCCAATGGGCACGTCTGGCAGAGATATTTGCATCCCAAGAGGAGAAAACGTGCAGTCAATTTCGAAAGTGTAAAGCTTGTCAACCTTAAGTAGAGTTTTCTCCTCTTCGGATGCAAATATCTCTGCAAAACGTCCCCATTGGGAGATCGTGGCTTTTGCAAATTTCACACTAGTTAAATTTGTAATCTAGTGACGCTAGTTTGCTCAATATCGGAGAATGTACGTTGGGAGACCTCCATTGCAAGTAGATAAATTACATAAATATGAATTTTTTCTACAAACCGATCAGGAATCGAGCTGTCTTTCTTCAGCGGCGTTTACTCCACGTCGGTCGGATTTACAAATAGATTTCCGGAAGCGAAGAGATTGGTCGGCCTTTGTGGGATTCTGGTCGGTCTGGGAGAAGTATCAGGTGGAGCGATTTTCGGCCTTTTAGGCTCCAGAACGGTGAAGCATGGACGAGGTATTAATTTATGCAGAATCCCGAGTAAAAATAAAATTGAAAAATTATTGTGCTTATTTTCACAGAAATATTGTTATTTTCGCAGATCCTATAATCTTACTAGGCTTCTTGTCACATACGGTCGCGTATTACTGCGTTTTTATTAATTTGCCGGATTTGTCACCGTTAAACCCTACGGATCAAGTAATTTTTGTTGCATTTCACATTCTTTTTAGCCCGAGTCAGTGCTTACGTACCCATTATGTCTTTACTCTCGTAAAACTTATCTAATCGGCTCGAAATTTTTCACCTAGAATATGCTAATATATAGGAATCAAGATCGAAAATGATCAAGATCTACCCAAAAATGAAAATGTTTTAGTGGGGTACATACCCACTTAAATTACTAATAATAACCTGACTCGGACTAAATGAGGCTGTAATTTTTTTAAATTATAGTATTTAATGCTTTGTTGAACTCTAGGTCTCTTATTTAAGGCCTCCTTCAGTCATCCTTGTAATGCTGTGTGCATTTTTAATGGGTAATTACTTGACTTTATTGACCTTGAAATATTTGCATGGCTAATATGTAAATGAAAGGCTTGAAATCCATTAGGTTTCGGAGACTCATGTTACAATACCCAGATTTACTCCATACTCGGTGGATTATATCCGGACAAATCTGCTCCAGCTTTTGCCTTGTAAGTAATCAATTACTTTAAATAACCTAAATTTCGTTAAAAGAATTTAACATAAAACTAGATGACTTATCGCCAAACTCGTCAAAATCAGAACATTTTTAATACTTCCTCGGCTCTAAATAGGAATTTGTTTTAAAATTCTGAACGGCAAAATTGTAGAGCAGGGAGTTACCAATTAAAAAAGATTTTGAGTTTTTCAAAGGAAAAGATCTCAAGTTTAAAGAAGTCTTTAGAAAAATTCAAACTCCTCGAAAACTCACCGGCATTCAATTAATCTACTCACTGACTACAAATTTTCCGTCCAGAATTTTGTAATAAATTCCTAAAACTGAAAAATGATTAAAACCGTGACGATTTTGGGAATGAGTCACCAAGTCGTACGTTAATTAACGTTAATTAAGTCAATTTTAATGAATTTATGTAACCCAAAAACAGATTTAAATTCACCCAATCCGCCGCTGCTGCGACTTCATTTTACTACAGTTCCATCCTCACGCTCAGAATTCAGTTGGCAATCCTCCAAACATTTTGTGTTTTAGGGACGCTAACGTTTTTCCAGGTGGAGTGGGCTTCCGTCAAAAAAGCGGCGTCCGTCCAAACTCCGGGAGAGTCCTGTGTCGAGGAAGAAGACGAAACTGAAGGATCGACTCGTTACGCAAAAGACTAATCAGAGAAGCAACAATACAGATATCCTAAGTCATAATATTTTATAAATGTGTATGCTGTTAACTAAGTCACTATTTAAATAACTACAATATCTACATGATGCAACATTCCGCATTTTGTATTCCTTATTACCGGAAATAAATAAGATCAAAATAATTTGTAAATAAACACAAACTGAACTACCTGACAAATATTCGCAGTTTTCATCAATTTTTCCATGCAAAATTCCATCTTTTTATAAATAGGTCTGGTTCTTGAGTTCCTCTAGCAAAAATTTCCACATGTTTTTAGCCCGAGTCAGGGCTTATGGAACCGTCATGTCCGTCCGTCCGTCCGTCCGTCTGTCCGGCACGATAGAGCCAAAACGGCTGAACCGATTGACTTGAAATTTTTACCATATGCATATTGGACAAAGTTAGGAAACGAGTTCGAAGATGGGCGAAATCGGTCAAGTGGTTGACCGGTGGGGGTCATCGGAGTGGGTGGGGTATTATGCACCAAATTTCAAAATTGTCGTAGAAGGCTGAAATTGGGTACAGAGGTTGCTAATGGCTCCTAATAGATAAAAATGACTTTAAGTTTGAAAGATTTTCATCTTGAGGGACCCTATGGGATGACCCATACTGATTTTTCAAAATCGTCATAACAAGCTGAAATTTGGTAGAGAGGTTGCTAATGGGTCTTAATAGAAGAATATGACGTGGAATTGGTAAAATTCTTATCAGGAGCGACCCTATGGGGTGACCCATACCGATTTTTAGAAATTACTTTAAAAACATTAAATCCGGCAAGGTCATACCTAATGGCTTCTCATGAAAGGATATGAAGTTAAAAGTGAGCGAATTTTAACCAGAGTGACCCTGGAGGGTAACCCATACCATTTTTTAAGTTTAATTTTTTCCATCTGAAATTTGGTACGAAGGCTAAAAACCACTTCTTGATAGCAAATATAGCTGTGGAAGTTCAAAGTGGTAATATTATGTCGGTCAATTCGGAGAAAAATTTAGAAACAGCTAGGACTCACGGAGTCAGGGACTCTGTCCCTGACTCGGGCTATATGGAGTCTGCACTGTAGGTTTTTTAAATGGGTCGATCTGTAATTCGCATTCATATCAAGTCTAAATTTTCAACAGTCTGTCCTGTGTGTCATCCATTACATATTTTCTCCATACATATTCATAAATATGAGATTCACCTTCGCATTCATGCCAAATTTCGCATTTTGCTACTTTGTGTCACTCTGTCTGTTGACCCTTTTCTCAAGTGAAAAGAAGATATATGGATTTCATGCCTAAGTTGTTCTAGGGGAGACAAGGCAACGCTTTAAATGCTTGGGGCGAGATAATATTGGATGAAAGCTAAAATATTACACAAAGAAGCATCGCATCGATCAAACTCGATAGATTTGTCACAACTTCCTATAAAACCAAACAACTTAACATTACAAATTTGGGGCTGATAGGAATATGGAATTTGCTGGAAGATACGGTTTTCAACATCTTCCCCTCGAGAAGTTCCCTTGCTGGGAGAATAAGGAGATAAAGGAAAAGTTAACCAAGTGGTCCATGCTGGACGGAATTCGGTTGAAGGCGTACTCCTTCACGCGTCCCTTTAAGGACTATTTACACGAGGAATTCATCAAGGTATGTATCAATTATTCATATGGATGCAAATATGTTCATAATTATTTATTAACCGATACAATCAAATAATTAGTCGGTAGCAATGTCATATGGACAGTTTTAGAAATCCAGTATTAAAATAATACCAAGTATTTGTATGACTCTACCAATGTGATATTAACGAGTAATACGGTGTAGTAATAAATAGCTCAGTATTAAAGTTTTACCATATCGGCAGCAAAATTTTATGGTTTAAGACCAAACGGTAGCAACTTTAACGCCGAGAAATCAATATCTGCGTGACTATTCCAGATTTCTTCCAGTGTACATATTTATGGATTTACATATTTACTATTTACGTACATGCGTATAATACATGCTTCTTTATTTGCGCAGAAATTTTTTGCATGTCCAGTCGTCACTTCAACTTTTGAGACGGCGAACAACTTCAAATTCGCACCCATTGGTGACAATCATAAACAATTTATATATACATAAAAACTGATTATGCTATCTTTGTAAACATGCGTGGATATGTACACAGGCACCCCAGCCGAACTCGTCAAATTCAGTAAAGTCTCCTGCACCCACACAACAATGGAATTGTTCGACAAGCTCACCCAAAACGAGGCAATTGTTCGCCAATGTGGAGGAATTGTTCAATGCGCTCCGGAATATGTTCGTCTCCTTGACTTTACCGAAGGCGGTGGTGATCAGCACAGCGATCATTTGGAACTGGAGGTTAACGACAACCTCAGAAAGGTAAACAGGATTACCGTATGTGCACAGTGTTTCGGGTGAAAGTAAGTAAGCATTTGCAAGAAATTAGGGGGAGAAAGGGGTTTCTTGCAGGTAAATATTTTGACCTGCAAGAAATACAAGGCGCTAGAAGCTACGCCCCGCCGATATACTTCGTAAGGCGCGGGGCTATGTAGATGGCACATATTTCTTGCACTTTCTCCCAGTTTCTTGCACCTTGTATTTCCTGCATTTCCAGTGCAAGAAATGTAGAAAACACACTAGAAACGAAACACTGACCGCAAGAAAGTGGCTTCTTGCAGCTATTTCGATTTGCAAGAAATGCAAAGTGCAAAAAACTACGTCGCGCTGCTATTCCTTCATTTGGCGCGTGGCTAGATGCCGCATATTTCTTGCACTTTCTCCCAGTTTCTTGCACCTCGCATTTCTTGCAGTTTCTTGTTTCACAGTGCAAATAATTCAGCAAACCCGCAAGAAACGAAACACTGAACAATAACCTACATACTTTCATTCATTTATTCAAAATAATAATCTCAACTCTTCCCTTTATTCAGACCATTCTGACCACCTTAATCCCACCTCTGGCCAGATCATCAGAATTGGAGATTGAGCCCGATCTCGAAAACGTCTTCAGCTCCGAGGACACAAAAGAATTCCTCTTTCAACTTTTCGCACACTTGGTCCTGGGTGGATCCCTGTGTCAATATGAGGATTACATCACCCAATACTTGGAGGTGACTAAGGTCCTCTACAAAAATCTCGTCTCAGTCATGCTAACCCCCGAGGAAGAGGGGTTGAGTGTGGTCTCATCCATTTTTAAAATCCATTCCATTTCAAACCCGGCTTTTTCAAGGGGTAAAAACCTATTATTTGGCAGACAGCATATCAACAACTTTTGCTACCTCATTGTCAATCCGTATAAACAGATTTGTTTCACTTTTTACCATAATGTTTAGGTCAATATTGTGTAATGTCATTTGCGGCGAATGAGAAATGTGTACAGTAAACAACATAATAAAAAGTACGGTTAAAAATATCTTACTTTTAATTTGAGGATTATTTGAGTCGATGAAATTTCATTTTTAATTCATACCTATTTCAAATTCAGTTTTTTTGCAAGAGGTCAAAACTTATTATCGCAGACAGCATATCAATAACTTTTGCTACCTAATTGTCAATCCGCATAAACAGATTTGTTTCACTTTTTATCATAATGTTTAGGTCAATATTATGTAGCGTTGTTTGCACCGAGTGAAAATGTGTACAGTAAAAAAAAACAAATAAAAACTACGGTTGAAGAGCGTTTCAATTTAAATCCGAGGATTATGTACAGAGGGCGGATATATATTTACTTTTGATTTTTTCATTGGATAACGACCAACGGCCAAACCTTCTGGATGTCCCCCAACTCTTGTAGGACGTTGTATAAACAAAATTTAAAATAAGGTGGTGATTATAACAATTAGTTGATTTTTAGGGGGATACCCCTGGGGGGTTGGACAGACTGGTTTTTGGAGAATTTGTAATTTGACACATTTAATTCTTTTTTTGGAGTCGTGATTTATTAACGTAAACATTAAATTCTCATAATTCTCATGGAGTGAAATAGAGAGTAGTTCAGTGTAAAATTGATGTATATTCGGTCATTGTACAGATAAATTAATCCTTAAAATTAAAATGAATTGACATGTATGGAATGTTTTAATTGTTAATATACGACTTGTTTTGTTTAATGAATTGTGGTTCTATTATCTTGAATCTATAGTCTTTAATTCTGTATGCTGTATTCCCAATGTGAATCACAGGCTGTAATTTGATATCTTTGTCTGTGGAGACGGATACTAACACGCACCTGGATGAGGAGTTGGAAGAAGATAAGCTCTGGGAAGATTTCCTACAAACTTTCCAGCGTCAAGAACTTACATTGTACACAGCCCTGTTCAAAAATTTAGTTTTCATTCAAAAGTCAGTCATCCCGATATCTGATTGATGATTTTCATTCGCATTCAGTCATTTTCGTTCAAATTCATTTCATTTCATTTCATTTCAATTCATCTGACTTCATTCTTACTTTGGCCAATGTATTAAGCATAGGGTGAAAAATGAAAAGAGCGAGAAATCTTTCATTCACAGTCATTCATCTGAAATGACGGAATCTTTCAGTCATTTTCATTAAAATCACGGGAAATTCATTTTCATTCACTTTCACTCACCATCATAATCACTGAAATGAATGAAAATGAACAGGTATGATTGTACCGTGATGATGAAGGGGATTAATACGAATATTCTGGTAAGGAACAACAAATATCTACATATATTGTATCTTGTTCTCCAAGTTGGTAATAGTCCAGTGTTGTTTTGTAGTTTGCCTGAAAATAGTTTTACTAGTTGAAGTTCATTAATTCGTATTTCTTATCTCTTCTACGGCTAATTATGAATTTGAAAAGATTGCTCAGGCGGAAGGAGGTAATCTAAAACCGCCCACCAGTAAGTGCAAAGAAGAGAAGGCGCCAGCTACTTGTGAGGATGATGCCGATGTTTTTACCCAAATCGACTCATCCGATGACGGTACTGCGTCACCACCCCCACCGAAAGTTACAAAATATTATCAAGACACCTATTGCACTAATTTTGCTGGTCTTGTCCTCTACCCTGGTGAGTATGAGACCGAGGATGATGATCCTAAATTTTACCCAGATCATGCTGTCCCCAGCACAGCGCTGTATCCCTATAGGTATTGAACTTGAACTCATTTTTTTTCTACTGAACCCTGAGTTAGGGCTTGTGTAACCGCTATGTCTGTCTGTGCGTTCGACGCATAGTCTTCGTCTGTCGGTAAATATCTTAAACCTCTGGAGCATGACGGGTTGGGATGTGAAGGTCCGAAACCCTGTGCAAGCCACGGAGTTGGATAGGGTATAGGATTAATTTTTGGATCATTAAGTATAGGTTTTTAAACAATTAAGTAATTAAGTATTAAGTAATTTGATTAATTTTAAACTTCGAAATCTTAACTGGGGTAAAGTTTTACCTTCTCGGAACCTCGATTATCCATATTTCTACCTTCTATCTAATTTTGGGCATGTTATTTCCCAGTAAATCCCTTACCTAAATATACAACTCCGTGATAAATACTTCATTCACCCCGAGTCAGGCATTGAGTTCGCTTCTACATTTTTGTCCCAATTGACCTATTACCACTCCCGTGAATTTTTGTTTCAATATTTTCTATTATTTTGAAGTTTACACCAAATTTTCGAATTATTCACAAACAAACAGTCATACCGCTTCCATAAGCCCTGACCCAGATTAAAACCTACACTAGCTACGCAGAGCCAGCTGGGATAAGTAAATCTTCAACTATGCACACTCGTCGGTTGATGTCCCTAATTTGCACATTTTTACCGAATTCCAACCAAATACTAACTTTTAATAATCTTTCCGATATTTGGGGTTGATGCAAATTTTTAGCCCCACCCAGGCCTTATGTAATTCTCATGTCCGTCTGTCTGTCTTTCGATAACTCTCGAACGAGTTGACTGACCGACCGACTTGAAATTTGTATCATGTGCATACTGCATACTGGACAAAGTTAGGAAAAAAGTCGAAATTTTGTACCGAGCTTGCTAATGGCTTCTAGAGGAAAATTAAGATTTCAAACTCATACAATTTTTGTCCAAAGGGACCCGAGGGGGTTACCCATGCCCGTGCCCGTGGTGAAATTTGTCAAATTTTAATTTATATTCTTCCAGAACAGAACAATTAGCAAACACTACCAAATTTCAGTTTTGTACAACAATTACTGAGTTATTGAAATACTGACGGACAGACGGCCACGAATATCTCGCTATATAAGTTTGTCTTGTTGTGGAGGAGATCCCAAAATAGATAGATGACGCATTCCCTCTTTGAACTTTGACAATTCTCTGAAACATTAATGACGTTGCCTTCTTCTCTTCTGTGAGGCCTGTGAATAAATTGCTACAGTAAATGTAATAGTGTTTCTGCCAGAATAATATTTGAATATTAATTTCATGTATGAAAAATCGTGGAAATGTTACTTTCACCCCTAGGCGGATGTTTTATTTTTCAATTTATTAACTTACATTTTATTTTCAGGGGGGTCGAACCGCATTGTCCATCTATGACTGTTATGAAATTCATTTCCGCTTTGGGAGGAAGAAACGAGCGGCAGCAAGTACAATTGCTAGGTGCGCCATGACACGTGACATGACACGAGGGTTAATTGAAGAGGGAAAAAATTAATTGTTAATAAACAATCAGTTACTAGAGGGAAAAATCGCCGAGGACGACATTGGTACGGTTTATTCGTTGCACATAAAAAAGCTCATCGTTAGCAAGATCTTAAATATTGTCGTCTTATGATTCAGGTCGTTTCTGGAAACCTTCCAAATTTAACCGGTCCCCAGGATCAACCAACGGTCATTCCAATTCCACTGCTATCACTTCTGGCGGCCGAGCCCCCAGAAGACGGGGACAGCGAGGCGTCATCATTAACCGGTACTCCAAGCACTGTAATCAGCGGCAGTCGGAAGAGGAAGCAACGCTCCCCCATCGAAAATTGCAAAGAAAACAATGCAAGAAACACGACGTAGAAAGAAAGTTTCTTGTCGTATCCAAGAAATTGGCACCAGTTGACGTTTTAAAGGTAGAACTTTTGTTGCTGGGATTATTACCAGAACGTGTCTAATATGTGGACAATTTTTAAGACACGATTTAATTTTTTTCTGAGTCGTGATTTTGATTTATTAATGTATTTAAACATTAAACTCTCGTAATTCTCATGGAGAGAAATAGTTCAGGATGGTATACTCGAACACTGCACAGGTAAATTAATCCTTAAAATTAAAGTGAATTGATATGTATAGAATGTTTTGATTGTTAATGTGTGGCTTGTATTGTTGATTAATTGTGGTTCTGTTATCTTGAATCTATAGTCTTCAATTCTGTATGCTGTAGTCCCTCGGTCTGTGATTTGATCTTTGTCAGTGGAGATGAGATGGAGACGGATACTGACACGCACCTGGATGAGGAGTTGGAAGAAGATAAGCTCTGGGAAGAAGATTTCCTGCAAACTTTCCAGCACCAAGAAGAACATTGTACAGTGAGGATGAGGGGGTGAAGAATTTGAATGCGAATATTCCTCATCTTCTGGCAACAAATATCTACATATATTGTATCTTGTTCTCCAAGTTGGTAATAGTCCAGCCTCTATAGCGTTTTTTTGTAGTTACCCTGAAATTGTTTTTTTTTTCTAGCTGAAGTTCATTAATTTGTATTTCTTCTTTCTTCTACGGCTATAATTATGAATTTGACAAGTGTATTTTTCTAATGAAAAGAATGTAATTTAGTTTATTTTATTAATGGATGTAATCGAATAATTGTGTGTTAAAAATGTCATTAAAATACATGGTAGTTTTACAGATAAGACAATACATACATTGTATTTAATCAATTATAAGCCCCTAGTCATCTTCCCAACACAGTCTGCCATGAAAGCAGAATATACAAAGAAAGAAATTCACGCATTACTCTTACTCATTTTTATACCTATTATAATTGTTGAGACCACTCAACGTCCTGTCCCCATACACTAAACTATGGGGACAGGAGTGGTTACCTTTCATTCAGTGGCCGCGGAAGCGTGGGGACATACGGACACTGTCCCCATGGAAATTTTGCCGTGGGGACATGCAATTCATTTGTCCCCACGATTTAGAATTACTGAAGTACAAAAACATCGACCTCATACGACAACTTAAACCATAATTTCGAAATTATATTAAAATTCGGTAATAATATTTCCGAATTTAATAATAATTCCCATCCAATTCCAAGATAATTGATTAAGTAAATCTATAACCAGGATACATAATTTGAGTAATGATTATTTTCGAATCACCCAGTTATATTTTTATTTTTCTTAAATTTTCATGAAAATTTATGTCCCCACGGTCCAAATGATCTTCCGCGGCCACTGCTTTCATTAAAGACATGAAGACTGCAAATAATGACCGAGGGGAACGACGATCCACAACTTTCTTCCTCCAGCCACTCAGTATTACAGGCTTCAATTTGAATTTCCCAGCAGGGGAAAAAAACCTAACGAAATTTATTATATTAGAAACTACCATGCATTTCAATAATATTGCTACCAAATAATTATTTTACTGTATCGATTATATACTAATAATATACAGTATTGTAACTTACAATTTGTAAGTACTAATAGTTAATTAATAAATAATACCTCTTTTGGTCTTTCCAGATAGCGAGAACTCTTCTAACGGCGACGAAAGCGGAAGTGGGGACACTGGCTGCGTCTCGTAAGGTTCTGAATATTTTGATGAACTTCCAGGAACATTTTCATATGTGGATTCCGACTCTGATAGTGAGTTAGACCCTGATACTATTGCATACAGTAGCTGGATCAACGGTTGAATGGATTTGCTCCGGAGGTCCAAGTTATCACGCTGGACGATGGCAATGAAGACCATACAGCTGGTAAGGGGCTGTTCTTAAATTACGTAACGCTTGAAGGGGGGAGGGGGTTTAGGCCCCAATGATATCGTGCCTATGTACGCCATGTTAAAGGGGGGAGGGGGGGTCGAGAAAATCAATTTTTAGCGTTACGTAATTTAAGAACGGCCCCTAAGTCAAGAGCATTTCAAACACTCAATATTACCCCAACTCTTGATTCCTATTTAAATAGAGAACGATAGATCTTTTAAAATCAGATATTGATATTTAATATCAATTTATTTTTATTTTGACTGACTTACCTGTGCTCTGAATTAAACGTCATTGTCACAAGTTTCGGTGTGATGACATGTCACGAATTTGCTCGCACAACTTTTACGCCAACATTAAAATAAGTTTATATTCAATATTCATTTATGAATGTTGGATTATCTACTTCCTCACTTATTGTGCAATCATTGATTGACTGCTATATCTACTTTCTTACTAATTGTACACAATTGATTTCTATCTACTTCCTCTCTTATTTGATTGTTTCATTAAATAAATTACATATGATGTACGCATAAAGTTACACACTATTTAGTAATGTACACTTATTGTGGGCACTTGTTACGAATAGGAGACACTGAAATTACATATGTATTTTTTAATAGGAGAATACTCTGTCCCGATTGATCAATTATAAGGCAACGACAACGGTATACAAGGACAAGAATTTATTCGTCCTTCACCGCGACTCGTGGTGAAGCGTCACAGAGGAAAAAATCATTTTGTCTGTCCGACATACTTAAAGCCTTTCGTACAAATAAGTTACTGTTTTGCTCATGAAATCAGACTCCACAATTTGGAGCTGAATTCGTTACAAAATCCAGTATTTATAGAAGCTAATTGGTATCGGGCCATGAAACTGGAATGGGAATTAGAGCAAGAAAAGATTGCTCAGGCGGAAGGAGGTAATCTAAAATCGCCCACCAGTAAGTGCATTTCTATTTGTATTTCTTCTTTCTTCTACGACTAATTATGAATTTGACTAGTGTATTTTTCTAATGAAAATAATGTAATTTAGTTTATTTTATTAATAGATACAATCAAATAATTGTTTGTTAACAATGTCATTAAAATACATGGAAGTTTTATAGATAAGACAATACATACATTGTATTTAATCAGTTGTAAGCCCTAATCATATTTTCACAACACAATCTGCCACCAAAGCAGAATATACAAAGAAAGAAATTTACGCATGTCTCCTACTCATTTTATACCTGTTATAATTGAGACCTTGGGTGTATGGGGTCAGGAGTGGTTACCTTTCATTAAAGACATTACCACTGAGGCTGACGGCAAGGAACGACGATCTACAAATTTCTTCCTCCAGCGAAGACTCAGTCATACAGTTCAACTTTGGCTTCAATTTTGGGAACCCTCCCAGCAGGAAAAAAAACTTAATAAAATTTATTATATTTAAGTAAGACTACTATGCATTTTAATAATATTGTTACCAAATAATTATTTGACTGTTAAAGTACTAATAGTTCATTAATAAATAAGTAATACTTTTTTTGATCTTTTCCGAATTCGAGAACTCTTCTGATGGCGACGAAAGCGAAAGTGGCGATACTGGTTCCGACTCATACGGTTATTACGGTTCTAAATGTTCTGACGACCTTCCAGGAACTTTTCCCTATAATATGGAAAAGTAAGAATCCATATTATGGATTCTGAGTCTGATGATGAGTCAGGTCCTGATGATCAAGATACTATTGCATATTTCCACATTTCAGACATATTTATAAATATGGTAAATATGTAGATGTTTTATTTATGTTTTCAAAAATACAAAAATATATTTTGCAAATATTTCAGTGATGGGTGTCGAAATGGTTTTGCTCAACGAAACTGGACCACACTCAAAATAAGGTAGTAATGAATCATTACTATGCGGAATGACTATGTGTCTCTACCACGTCGGTTACGACTTGTAGTAGAAATGGTAATAATAAGTTGAGGGAAATTCGAATTTAATTCATAATGGTATTAACTTCCTTAATATTTGGTAATGAATTTGAATTTCCCTGAACTTATTCTTACCATTTCTACGACAAATCGTAACCGACGTGGTAGAGACACATAGTCATTCCGCATGGTAATGATTCATTACTACCTTATTTTGAGTGCACAAAAAATACAAAAATACCAATTTTATGAAAATTCTTATTTTCATGGCTTTGCTCGTATGTGCATATTTCCCAAATATATTTTAGCGTTTTTCCAAGGTCCTGAATTTTACTTAGTTACGTGTCTACATAAGGTTAGCTCATTTGATGGTAAATTTTGTGACCGAGAGCTTGGGACGAGTTTGGGATTATTGTGGGGAAAAAATTTGTTGTTACGTGAAGTTAAGGTAATTTTATAAAGTAATGATGATGATTTCTGGTGGTGGTGGTGGGGAAAATTGATGATTTTTTAACACATTTCTTGAGCACGTTGTCGTCTATCGTTTTTAATATAAAAAGACAATGGGGAGAAATTGCGCAATTTCAAGTTGTCCAAACAGAAAAGGAAAGCCTTCTCATAAAGTCCACGCATTTCCCAATGCGAAACATGCTCTCCTCCGGACCACTTGGATTTCCAGAACAATTGGAACATCATCCCTTAAAATTGACAACTTCGGGGTTTGCAGCCGTCATTTCTCTTCAAATGATTATGTAGCAGGTCAGGTCACCGGAATAAAAGCTAAAGGAGGTGCCCCAGTCTTAAAGTCAATTGCAATACCAACTCTGAATCTGTGGAACAGTCCAACTGGTATTATAATTGGATTATTTATTATAATAAAATTACTTATAATTTCGATGCATTAAAGGTGAGACACAACTGCCTGATACGGATCGTATGCGGATTGACATGGGCGCACCCATATGTATTGAATTGGATCGAATGGAAATGGGTGGCACAGAAATTCAACAAACCGTGGCGAACGTCGCAATAAATAGCGATGTCACCTCAAATAATGGTATTTATTACCACTATAAATTATTTTTCGAACTCTAATTTACATAATACATATTTGATGTTAATTACTAGAACTGCAGCTTCATATTGAAATTGCCAGACTAAAATCGGAGATTCAAGAATGTAAAACGGCCCTTGAGTCCAAAAACAAAACCATACGGAGTTTACGTGTCCAGATACAGAGAATAACAACAGAATAACAGAATAACAAGTGCAACTATCCGTTCCCGTCCATCTCAACATTAAAAAGATGGTTGCAAGAGGTCTCAATTATACCTGGGAAAATTATGACTCCAGTCATGGATGTTATGAGAGCTAAGTTTTTGGAAAAGTCAGAAAGGGAGCGAGTTTGCGTCCTAGCCTTAGATGAAGTGGGCATCAATAAGCGTTTCGTGTATGACAAATCCGCAGACAAAGTGTATGGGGGACGAGACTGTGTTCCAGTTATCACTGCAAGAGGCTTATTTTCTTCCTGGAAGCAGATCCTCTACTACGATTTAGAAAACAAGACGACAGGCCAGCACATAACAGAAGCAATTAAAGCATTGTTTGATATTGGACTGATTGTCGCCTTCGTATCAGACTTGGGCACGAAAAATCAAGGACTATGGAAGGAGTTTGGGATAGGAAGAGTAAAAAACGGTGAAATAGGAGCAAATTTCCACATCCGAGCGACCCAACTCGAAATGTGTATGTTTTTGCCGATTTTCCCCATTTAATTAAGCTCTTGAGAAATTTATGAGAAGGCTTTCCTTTTCTGTTTGGACAACTTGAAATTGCGCAATTTCTCCCCATTGTCTTTTTATATTAAAAACGATAGACGACAACGTGCTCAAGAAATGTGTTAAAAAATCATCAATTTTCCCCACCACCACCACCAGAAATCATCATCATTACTTTATAAAATTACCTTAACTTAACGTAACAACAAATTTTTTCCCCACAATAATCCCAAACTCGTCCCAAGCTCTCGGTCACAAAATTTACCATCAATTGAGCTAACCTTATGTAGACACGTAACTAAGTAAAATTCAGGACCTTGCGTTTTTCCATAAATATTAAATACATATTTCAGCGATTTTATACATCCGCCCTCTGATTACGTGGTGTTTGTTTGAGCTGATGAAATTTCCGTCCAAGGACCGAGTGCAACCAACTTTTAGTAGTTTGTGTAGCTTGCATTTTTTAAACGTCTCCAGTAACCCAAGCTTAAATAAATTGTTGCGACGAAATTATTAATTAGCCAACGTTATGCAGATGTCGTGACTTACAAAATAAAATAATTAGCAAGCACTTAGACGAATTGGGTACCTGATGCCCCCAAGTCCCTGCTGCAATAGCCAGTTTCCTTGTGTAACTGTTATAGTTCGGTAGTTATGCATGGTTTCGCCAGCGCTGGTGTTGTTATAACAAAGCAGGTGTGACATTATTTACGTCCTTATTACGTAATTACGTGTCTGGACAACGTTATTTAGGACAGGAAACTATAATCAGCTAAATGACATTTTCCTATCAACCAAATTCTAACAGGAGACAATTAAATAATCCAATCCCTCCTTTCGTGCCAAACCTTTTAGTACAGGATTGCATAGCCCGAGCCAGGATTTATTAGTAAAGGGACGTTCATAAATTGTGTAACTCAACAGGGGGGGTTTAAGGGTCCAATGATATCGTGCCTATGTGATGCATGTTACAGGGGAGAGGGGTAGGGGGGTCGAGAAAATCGCGATTTACATAATTTATGTATAAACGTCCCATAATATTTGGCATTTATTTTCTATAAAATACTTTACTAAATTTCAGCCGAAAATATTAACTTTTACTTTATATAGCTTCACATTCTTCTATTAGAAGCCATTAGGGATCTCCTGCCAAATTTCTGTTTTCTGAAAGTTAATTTCTGAAAATGTTCAACTTTTCCGCTGGATGGATGGACATGACGCTTACATAATCCCTGGTTCGGACTAAAAATTGGAGTATTAATCTACACACTGATACATAACACTCACTCATCGACTGAATTGTAACGAGGTTGTATAACCTATCGCAACAAGAATCTTAGACATGCTACACACATCCTGAATAAATGAGCACCTTCAGCATTTCTCAAATTAAGAACCAACATTACCTCTTAGGTTCTTTGTCACCTACGAAATTTGCATTAATATGCTGCATTCTATTCGAACCGTATATCATTTCCATATCACATGAGACAAATAAGCATCTTATTGTTAATCGAAAATCATACATACAAATAAACCAACACTTAAACCAAATCTTGTCCGATTGGGCATCACATCACTAATGACGAGCATGGGAAACCCGTCCACCATAAAAAATATTTTGCACAATAAAATCTCAATATTACTTATCTATACGATATGGTAATTAAATATACACATACATACATATCTTGGACATAGTATGCAATGTATGTACATATACTTTAGAAGAAGACCTTCATTCTCACAGATTTTTTTCTCCTTTTTGTGTGAATGTATTAGCCAAGTAACGCTCACACAGACAGTCACGAGACCATCGCAATAATGAATGGTTGCATAACGTGTTACTAAATAGTGAGAAAATTAAATAAGTAAATAAATAAACCATCTTTAACACTAACTACAATTTCACTCTTCCAATTTCATAGATTTTAATTTTTTAAAGATTTTGCCCAAACCGAAATGAAGCCTAGTTTAGCATGTTTACTAATAATACTAGTAAATTTCGTCGACTGGGGAGAAGCATTGTAATTATTTTTGCAATTATTATAGTGATTTGCTAATTGACCAACTGATTTGAATTTTGTCCCACCTTCTAGTTCCGTCTCCGTCCCCCCGGTGCGTTCCGTCTGCAAAAACATGCAACCTGGCCACGATAGCTACAAGGCACAGCAGTCTTCCCCCCCATTCAATGTGACCACGGACGTTGCCCAAGTTCGAGGAGGAGAAACGGTCGATGGTAATAAACAACAACTATTAAAAAGCTATAAACTCTTTACAGATCACTTAAAATTTCTGGAATGCATCATGAATTTTATGACATTCTTGTTTACCAACACAGTCACGATCTATGCGAAAAACGGAGAAAAATTCAAGGGCTTTTATGTCCAAGCTAGGGACGAAAAAGGCACCCCGATCGGAACATTTAATGAGAATACTAATGCAAAAACGCACAGTTGCAGTGGAATCAAATCGGTACGATAAAAAACAGATCAGATCAGACCATACACACTGTTCAAATTGTTATGTAACCATTTTATGCACAGAATGCTGCCCATCATGTAAATTCAGAGGACAAAACCAAGGTTCAAGTGTCCTGGACGGCGCCTGCAAGTTACAAGGGAACGGTGCAAATTCAGTACGTTTTTACGGCCACACTTATCATAAATTATGTAACTTGATAAGTATGTGCATGTGAGTATATTTGTCCTTATTTTTATTTCAGGGCCACCGTCGTGCAGCGATTCACGACGTACTGGATGCAAATAAAAGCTAACCCGATTTCCATTGTCAGCTAAAAATTATCACTATCAAATTTAAAATAAAACCAAATCGTCTGTTGCAAAGTCGAGAGAACCACAACCAATGTCTACATGAATTATGCCCTACCATCATGTGCATCATTTTTTGGGGTGCAAGTAAACACACTACCAAGAAATAACGGCAAGAAAGCGTTTTTTTGCAGGTAAAAATTTTTACCTGTAAGAAATCCAAGGCGCAAGAAACTAAATACGTCCCGAGGCTAGATTTCAAATGGCGCATATTTCTTGCACTTGTTACCAGTTTCTGCACCTCGAGTTTCTTGCGTTCTTTGCGAAGCACCGATGTACACATTGTATCATACAATTTGTATGCCAAAAAATCGGTTGGGTGACAAATATGCTGGCAGAAGCATATGTGCAAACGACAAATGCACAGACCTTAAATCCGATAAATCTGCAAATGATGCCGCAAATTTTCCAACAATTATTCCCACAATATATCTTTATCCTAATTTTGTCCTTCATCAGCTAAATTAAGTCAATTTACGAAAATTGCGAATATGCGTAATTGATTGGGGTAGACTTGGGTTGCATGTATGAATGATTATAATCTGTAGTTCTAGAATTACCTATGCACATACCTCAAATTATCTCCGCCCAATTACCCTTAATTGGCTATCAATGTTCCAACTTGTAATTGATAGATTATACTCTATCCAAATATAAATTACATAAAATTTGTGGCGATTTGTGCCTGAATTTTATACTGCATTTTTCTACCTGCATTTATAATTTGTGTTATGCAACGAAAAATAGCAATTTGGGTACAAACAAAGCATTCCAGAAAACTTATTTTTTCAAACTCATTCTCTCCTCTGTACACTAATTGCATGACTGGAGTCACTAAAAATGTGTCGATTTGAATTGAAACAAAGCATCAATCGATACGTTTAAGTTTCTTTTTCGGAAGGGGCCGTTCACAAATTATGTGACCAATTTGAGGCGAGAAGGGGTATGATCAAGAAGGCATTCAACCCTTCCAATGTTAATTATAACATGGGGCATATAGGTCACAACAGAGGTAGGGGGCCAAAATTCCAGTCTGGGATATCCAAGGGGAAGTATGTCTTTTGGAGGAAGTCATTTTAAAGTTTCCAAAAACTTTCGAATAATTATGGGTCGGGGGAAGCTTGGAAGATTTTGCCAGACTAAACTCCCCAAACATTGATCACATCCTTTCCGTCCAGCCCCTTAAACGCAACTTGTTACAAAACCATATCGCCACCCTAATCAAATTAAGCAGAGTTCTTCGATTTTAAATAAATTCTCAACATGAATTAATCAAATCGCCTGCTGTCCCGCAGGTGGCGATGCTTATCTGCCGACATGCAATTGCTTTCTCCTCATTAAAGATATTTTACACGATACGACACTGCACAAATGAAAGTCATTCATTCTCAAAAAGTGGATAAAGACGCACACACACATTCTTCTCGGAGGTCACATATTTACATACATATGTCCACACCTCAAAATAAAAAAATGTCTCACTTTAAAATTATCACCACTCTTCTTCTAATTATTTTTACCGTTTCGTCTAAAAATGTTACCGCTCCACCAAAAAAAATGAATAACAATCTGACCGAATTTCTCGTCCAACTCCTCCAAAACAGATTTACCCCTTGCTCACTGCTACACATTTACATAAATTCCGAGCAAAATCCACACCCAAATCTGTCCCAAAGCTCCGACTTTGATGAAGTATTCGATCAAAGTATTCGCCGTGTTGAGCGTGATGCATTCGTCGTCCAAGTAAACTCCAACTTCGACTCATTTTCAAATGCCCCCAGTCTCATCTCCCCCAATAAATCTGAAGAATCCCTCACCAATCTCGACACTATTTCAGACGTCCACCGATTCCGCGACCCCTGCACAACCGCCATCCTCACCGTCTCCCATCTCTTCCCCGGCCTTTCGAATCGTCTCTACACCGAAATCACAAAATGGTCCAATGTCATAAAAAAAGACGAAGATTACTTCATCTTCATCGTCTCCACGGCATCGACTGATCCCTCCCGTGACCTCGTCTCCAGCCAAATCGGGGCCGGGATCAAGTACAAAGTCCTGCTCCAATCATCCCCCCATAAATCCACCCCAATCGATAACGGGATAACGATGTCCACCACGTGTTTTTATTGCGATTCTGGGAAACCTAAAGCTCTCCTGGTGCCCTGGGGACGCATCCATCCAGCAAACTCAAGTCACATTGACTTTGCTGATTTCTCCACCCTGTTTCCCGATCTTACCGGAAACTTTTACGGGAAACTGCTCGCCGTCGGGACCCCGATGGGGACGCGGTGGTTGAACGAGCTGAGATCCGAGGAGGGGAAATGGGTCGCGAAACGGGGGCTTTATAAAATCGTGATGGACAACCTCATGTCCCGGTACAACTTTAGTTGCGACTTTTTCCCCTCCATGGTCAACGGAGGGACCGGGTCGAAGCTGAAGAATGGGACGTGGATCGGATCCGTGGGCAATATTGTGCACAAAACGGCCGATCTGGGTCACGTGACGGGGCAGACTTTCGCAAGGAATAGGGTGGTCGGATTTACGTATCCAGTTTCGTATGAAATGTTGACCTTTTCGACGGGAGAACCGTTTCCGTACTTTTCGTGGAAAGCGATCCTTTGGCCGTTAGCGACGGATATGTGGATCGGGCTGGGAGCGTCGTTTATGGTGGCGAATATCGTGCTGTATTTGATCATCCAGAGGACCACGGAACAGTTTGATGTGGTGCATATTGTGTCGTATACGATTGCATCGATTGTAGAGCAGGATGTCCCAGCGGCGGAGAGACTCAAGGCGAATGGGATAAGGTAAAAATATGTTAAGGTGGAATTAGATTTGTAGTCTCATTCTACCCCATGTTCAATCTCTTTAAATTCCTATTCCTGAAATGGCATCAATTTCATGAGTTTTGAGATATGTAAATGCTACTTTTCATATATACTTTAATGGTAAGTTAATTTTTGGTACTACAAAATTATCGATTTGAAAAAAATTGAGAAAATTTATCATGAAGTGATAAAGGCATTAACATTTTTTTCAAATAGATAGTTTATCGTATCAAAAATTGCCATTTCATAATAAGTTTCATTAAAAAATTGTTTTAATCGATAGTTTTGCAAAAATTAACTTTACATTAAGTTAAGGTATCAAAAGTAGCTTTATCTCAAAACTCATGAAATTAATGCTAATTTAGAAATTTCCCTTTAAAGACATTGCACAGCTGAGATCCAAAATCTATCCCACATTACACCATCATCCAATACACCCTTAAAATTTTCACTCATATCTCTATCCCAGAGCCTTCGTCTGTTTCTGGTTATTTTTCACCCTCGTAATCTCCACCGCCTACAAATCCAAGCTGGTCTCCCTCCTCTCCTTCCCCAATGCTGAAGAACCCCCCAAAACCTTTGAAGAACTCGCCAGTTCCGATTACGCCTACGCCCTCCAATACCTCTTCGGAGCTGCCTACGTCCTCCTGCAGACCTCACCAAATCCCACTTATCAAAAAATCTTTAACCGCATGGAACTCGAAACCGACGATGTCGCCTGCTTCGAACGCGTCATTGGCAAGAAATTCGTATGCATTTCATGGAGTCGGATTGCCGACTTTGTCTTTAAACGAAACCTGAGTGACCAGTACGGCCGCGTCCCCGTCATCAAAGCCGCCGCGACCACGTGCTTCCTCAGCGTGGGGATCATTATGGAAAAACGGGCCGTTTTCTTGACCAATTTCAATCTGCTTATCATCCGCTCGACGGACAGCGGGCTAATGGAGCGGTGGTGGGATGATGACATGAATTTCGTCTACAATGAGAGGAGGACTTGGGAGAAGGAGGCGAATGTGAGCAAGACCACGGGAGGCGACGTGCAGGGGACGGATGCCCTGACAAATAAGCACTTCCGGGGATCCTATTACCTTCTCGCGTTGGGAAGTGTGCTCGGAATCATAATGTTTGTGTGGGAGCTGATTTTGCACAGAAAGCATACCGTGAAGGAGAAGACGTTTCCTTTACTGGATTGAAAGAGAAGATTGCAATTTTTCGCCAATTTTTTTTTGTCGTGTAAATTGCTTGTGTAATTTAGCTACGTATTACATGCTTACATCTGCAAGAGGAGTGATCAATAAGAACAATTTCACATTATCCCAGAGATAAAATTTCTTGTTCTACCGAAATTCTACTAACAATGGAGGTCTCCCACGGTATGCTCTCAAATTTTGGGCAAAATTAGTGAGATTTTGGACAGACTAGTGTCAGTAAATCACAAATTTAATTAGTATGAAATTTGCAAAGACACGATCTCCCAGTGGGCACTTTTGGCCGAGATATGTACATCCAAAGAGGAGAAAACGCGCTCTAAACTGGGCCAATTTTACATATGTACATTTTCCAAATTCATTGCGTGTTTTCTCCTCTTCGGATGCAAATATCTCTGTCAAACCTGAAGATTGATAGATCGAATCTTTTGCAATTTCATATTGATTAAAGTTGTGATCGATTGACGCTAATGTGCTCAAAATCCTAGAGCATATGCTTGAAGACCTCCATTGTGAGTGCATATACTGCCGTTGTTTAAATAGAAATATTGACAATCCTGCTTGAATAACTGGTATAAAACTAAATTATAATTACATTAAAAATTAAATTATAATATTTACAATAAATACCATGTCGTCAGAATCCATGCATTCTTCTTTAAAGTATCTATACTGTCATGCCGTAATGTGCTGTAGTTAATTACCCTTCAAAATAAATTATTGATTGTATAAAATGTATCATTGTCATTGTTCACCTGCAAATAATTCGCCCAGCAATTAAGGCTGCATTAATTTTAGCAGTCGGAACTAATAAAGCATTGTTGAAGTAATACTTATTAAGTATTACCTAATACTTGCATATGAAGGAAGACAAGTCAAAGTCGTATCCTCCGTTCTGCCCGACCACGCAGAACGATAATGATAACCAGGAAAGATGGTACAACAAATCTGCGGAAATGATGTTAAAAGTTGTGAAGTTATTTTATTTGATATCCTTCACTTGCTTAATATCTTACTTCATAAATGCAGAATGATTAACTTATCAGTGCTTTTTATGCAGCTAATGTTACTATTCGACACTGTATGTACATACAACGTGCCGCTAAAGGTGTACCCTTCTTCTCTTCACGGTCGTGAACAAACCACACATTTAATCGCAATTCGCCTTAAATTGATGTGCATTTAAGTCTTCAATGGCAAGGCCCATTCGAATGCAGCTTAAATTGGCGAGAGTTCAACAAAAAGTATTAAATAATAAAAACATTATGTAATTTGGTGTGTGTGTTTATTATTTGTTACATAATTGGTATGTAATTACTTCTATTTTTATTTGCTGCCCCTTCCGTTTTCATGCACACATCCTGGAAACTTGTCTCGTCTCCCATTAACATCTCGGGAACATGTTAATATATATTTCCTTCTTCCAAGAAAATAATAGTGGTGGTCAAGTTTAACAATTGTGGGGATTTTAAATAAACCGAGTTCGATTATAAACCGGAATTTTGGGCAGATTAATCTCCCCGATCAATTAAGATATATTTTAACTGCTGGAAGTGCATTACACGCATCTTGTGACTCATGTCATTTCGCTTTAAAAGTTTCTTGGAAAACGTGATAATAATCGAGTTATAATCCAAAATGATCGTATACTTGTATTTTTTTCCAAAAAATCCTCCAATAGAGAATTTTGTCCAGATTATCATCGGAAATGATAATAATCGCTAACGAACCTTGCCATGCCTGCGAAATGAATAAGTAACAAAACTCATTGTATTTAAATACTGACGACACACTTTCAACATGCGAAACTTAGGCAAAAATTCCAAGTTTATCCGCAATTAAGTTAAGGATCATTAGAGTAAGTCAAAGTCGTTGTATAAATTCTTAAAATCTGTACGACATCTGCTTCCCCCTTTACATACGTATGCAGAAACACTTTTAATCCATATCTAAACAGGTTTCACCATGAAGTTTGGGCGATTAAAGTGCATGCTTCTTTAATGAAGTGCTTTGCATTGTCCACTAGCACATACATAAATACGATATGATAGTTAACCTTGATTTCACTAGGCACGCAAAAACCCCCATTTTTTGCACATCGTCAGCACATCAAGTCATTCATCCTTATCACAACTGAATTAAGTAGTGTGCAAGGCTCAACATATGTACAAGCCTTCTGTGCTGGCTTAACTATAGTTATTTTTGCAAGTTTATAAATTTGCAAAAATAAGCTCATGATAAAATTTAGCTATATATGTACACCTGTTATAAAACGGTTATGTATATATACTCGTCTAATTTTATAGTTCCGATCCTTCATCGTGCGAATAAAAGTTTGCAATTTTTTCTAAAACTTTTCTAAAACTTATTCACATTACATAATCATTAATTAATTATCTATCTACTCCAAATTATATTAAACTATTTACATGGGAAAATTAACTCCTGATTAATTTGTGTTTGATTCTCTACACAATTAATTTAATATCTGGTCACTCTGACCACAGGATACATTACGCTTCTCCTTCCTTCCTTCCGCCCAATTCGTCTGCCGTGGCAGACTTAATTCAAGCATTCTTGCTGTATGTATATTTGATATAGTCATATTTATCTCATGCAGGCAGAATTTGGAAGGAGCAGGAAGTTGCATACATTAATTACACGTGAGGAAACGCTGAGAAGGTCATTTCGCAGGTTCTTCTTGTCGCGTCATGCAACAATCTTAAATGAAGAGTGGTTACCAGTCCAACACCTGCTCACTCTGAATGAGTGCAGGTTTAGTGCACTGCTTCATTTCAAATTGTGACATGATTTTAAAGTGACATGCAGTGTTTTATAAAACTTGATACAATTAATTGTGTCCATTTGTGGTCACTTTTTAAAATCTCAAAGTGTGAATAATACTGGATTATTAACAGAGTGCAAAATGCCACCGGTTTCAAAGTTATCTTTTCCAGCGAGTGTATTAGGGATTAAAAGTGTGAAAAATTCTTCCTCAGAATCCGATATGGCGCTACCCGGATCAAAACCGGATACAACATATATTCAATCCAGTTTCAAAAAATTGCGGAAAGTTGCCAGTAGAAATGTAGTCGTCACACCGTACAATTGGCTGGACGGTAATAATAACAATAAATTAAATACCTGTTAACTGCAAAGAACCGCAAAAATACTAAAGCTTCAGCCTCGGTTACCGTATGAAAATCGTGTCTATAATTCTGCAGAATTCTGCATAAATCGTCTTCGCAATAATGTCTGCAGGAAATACTTGCATAATTCTGCAGAAAATTTCTGTCGCGTCTAAGTTGCAGAACAATGTGTGCCTAATTCTGCATAATTTATGCGCATGCAATTTTTCTACAGGAAAAACTAGCATAATTCTGTAGAAAATTTCTGTCGGGGTCTATTCTGCAGAACAGTTAGTGCATAATTATGCAGAATTCTAGATAGTTTATGTTTATGCACGTATGATTTTTCTGCAAAAAACGGCCAATTTTTTGCATGAAATGCGTCGATATTTTCATACAGTTACCGCAAAATATGTAAATATGTGCACTAATTATCACAAAAATTAATTACTCTTCAACAGATAAACGACGAGGAGATGCTATCGGAGATTACTGGCGAGTACATGACAAGCTCTACGACCTCACCAACTTTATCGAGAAGCACCCCGGCGGAAGGGACTGGATCGACGTGACGAGGGGGACCGATGTCACCGAGGCCTTTGAGTCCTCTCACATCCTCAACATGAACAAAGTGGAGTCCATCCTGGCAAAATATTACGTCAAGGAAGCCACACACCCCAGAAATTCCCCCTACGAGTTCAAAGACGATGGGTTCTACAAAACTTTGAAACGAAGAGTCGAACCCATTTTAAAGGTGAAATGTTTAAGAATTTCCGTTTTTACAGAGTTCAGGAACTTTGATTCAACCGGAGGAGTGTTTCTGATTAGATTTACTAATCTAATCAGACCTTGACTAGTAAAAGTGTATGTTTTTAGACGTCTTTTATTTATTAATAATTCGACCAACTTTCCGCACTGACCTGTCTTACAGACATATTTGCATAAATTAGTTATGCACACAGGTCGTTAGACCCTTTAAAAAAATGCTCTATTTCGCACATTTTCCGCGATAAAAAATTTATAAATTGGCAAAATACTAGCCCAGAAAGATTGCACCGTTCCTGTATCTGAGAAAGGTCGAAGGTCACATTTTTTTATTCACGCAGTGATTTTTTTCCCTTCCTGGCTTTATTTTTTAGTTGATAGTTCTACTAAATTCAATATGAACATTTTGACGTCTTGAACAGTGCTCCACGAGTGTTTTTTTTAACAAAGTTAAAAGTTTGTGAAGAAGGAAAAATGTAAGAATTTTTAAAAATTCTCCCATATAAGTAGGTTCCTATGAGTTTATACTTATGTGAGAATTTTGAAAAAATATGTAGGTTGTGAGAATGAGCCCATGGGATCTCATAGTCTATGGGACTGTGCAGAAAGTATGTGATCGATTTGAGGGGGGAGGGGGGGGGGGTAGACCTATCCTTCCCATGTTATTTATAACATGGGGAGTATAGGTCAATAAGGGTCGAAATTTCCCGAAAATCGATCACATTCTTTGTGTACGGCCCCTATGAGAATGAGAGGTTTCAAAATGATATGACTTATGTATCGTAATGGGATGGAATAACACGACGATATTTTAGTGCCAAACAAGCCATCACCCTTAATCCGGGAGGGGTTTATCTCTCATTATTTATTGTTCTTTCCAAAAAGTCAATCCATTTTTCGAACCAAGGATAAAAGACGGTTTCTAATATAAGATAATGTATTAATATTTTTCACGTTTTGAGGTTAGATGATGACATTTATTGAAATTTAGGCTAAAAGTATAACACGTCGTTTCCAAATATGAAATGAAAATGTATTTGGCATAAAATATTTATAAGACTACTTTTTTCGTTCAATATCTCAAGTAAAGAGACCAACACTATGTTGGTTTGGTACATAGTTTTCCGAACGTATGAAAAACATCAAGTATCTAATAAGAAGCAGTACATTAATGATTTATTAGAATAAATTATTCGAAAAGTTTAACATTCTTCTGTGCCATAAAATATCAGAGGTGGGCAAAATATGTACTTTGTCAATACTAACCCAACCTAGTAAAGAAATTACCTTTTCATCGTTGTCAAAATCAATTCGTGAAAAAATGTAATTTGGCAGCGACGAAAACTAAATTTCTTCAGAAATCCTATTTTCATAAGAATTTTATATTCTCGTCGTTTTGTGGGTGTAACAGCCCTGAAAATCCAAACCTGGGAATAACGGAGATCAAAATCCTGTATTTTCACAACCCGTAAATTAAATCATGCAAAAATCGCGATTTTCTAGATCCCCTCCTCCCCCTTTAACATGTGTCACATGTGCACAACCTCCGTCTATTTTAGGGTAACTGACTGTTCATACTAAAAACTTTTTGCACTTAATGACTTCGATTTTACAGCTAACCCTAGGCACAATATCATTGAAGCCTTAGACCACCCCCTCCCCCCTCTCGCGTGACATAATTTATGGATCGTCCCAAAGTATTTTGCCCACCTCTGTAAAATATTGAAGAAATGTTTGTACATAAATACCAATATTTTTGCTTGTCTTGTTGAGTACACAAACTTTTTACCAGACCAGAAATATGTCCATGCCGTACCAAACTCTAACTTTCTTTTCATGATTCATTCCATGCTTCAACTTATCATAATTATTCATCTAAATATATTTTCAGAAAGTTGGGACGGGTCCTACAAAAAGGCTGCTGCTTACCCAAGACCTCCTCGCATCTCTCTACGTCTTCACATCCTGTTTGGGAGCATGGTCGGGATCCTGGCTGCTACAAATTTTGGCAGGCATAATTTTAGGCATGGTGGTCGTCGGGGCGCATAACTTTCTTCACTTAAAGGACACGTGGCGACGCTTCTACTTTGACCTTTGCCCCATGACCTCGTTCGAATTTAGGATCACACACGGGCTCAGCCACCACCTCTTTCCAAACACGATTCTTGTGAGAACACAAAACTTTTATGGAATTTGATTCATTCATAGCAATTTCTCAGTTTATTAAGTTTCAGTTTATTAAGTATCCTTCAAACTAGTTGAGGCAGATTTAATGGAAAGATTTACCCAATCTTGCGAAAGTCGGTGTGTGCAATTGGAACAACTTTATTTCTCCGTTTTATTTGAAAAGTAAAGTTTCCCTTCATGGATTAAAAACCCTGGAAATACTGAGCTCAGCATTTTACCACCCAGTGTTTCGTTTCTTACGGGTTTGCCACATTTCTTACATTGCAATGTGCAGTCTGCAAAGCAACAAATGCAAAAATGCGAGGTGCCAGAAACTGGGAGAAAGTGCAAGAAATGTGCACCATTTAGTCGCGCGCCGCATGAAGTACAGCGGCGGGACGTAGTTTCTTGCACCTTGAATTTCTTGCAGGTCAAAATATCTGCAAGAAATCAGTTTTTTTGCGGTTTTTTTACATTTCTTGAAACCGAAAAACTGAAGAAATGCGTGGTGCAAGAAACTGCAAGAAATGAGTGCCATCAACCCACGCGCCATATGAAGAAATAGCGGCGGGGCGTAGTTTCTTGCGCCTTGCAGGTCAAAATACCTGCAAGAAAACCACTTTCTCCCCGTTATTTCTTGCAAGTTTCACCCGAAACACTGATTTACTTCTGATCTCTCTCTTTCCGTAACTATTATGAATGAGTTCAAAACTACTTACGGAATATTTTTGACTTCGCAAAAATCCCATAATCCCAACAAATGCACCATGTAATTGGTCCAAGTTCTCAAGAATTTTTCCCCATCTTCCGATAATCCTTCCCTACCTGCGACTATTTCTCTTGGTACATAAGTATTGTATACAAATAATTATTATTATGTATGTTTCTTTATATCGACAGGATTACGAAGTCATCGCTCTCCAACCGATATTTGAGTTGTTACCGAGCCGTCCAAAGAATTTGCTGAATCGTTACGGCTCCTTGATTTACTCGCATTTTGTATACAGCCAAATCATGGGACAGGACATTCTCAGACGTGTCCTGGCAATTTATTCCGGCCAGGCAAAAATTCGTCCCGAGAACTTTCTCATTTTCATCCAGCTAGCAATCTTCATCTTTTTATCTTCAAGTCTAATCGTAAGCCGGCATTTATTCAGGATCAGAGGGCGGCTATGTATCTATCTATTTTCAACTTTTTCAATTGATGACGACCAACGTCAGTGTGATGCCTAACTCGCATAGATCACAACAATTTCAAATTTTTTTTTTTTTTATTTTTTTTTTTACATATTATCCCATATTTCTAAGTTTCAGGATCAGAGGGCGGATATGTATCTATTTTCAACTATTTTAATTCATGACGACCAACGTCAGCGTGTTGCCTAACTTTCAAAGAACACAAAAAGTTTAAAATATTTTTTTACATATTGCCCCATATTTCTAGGTTTTCAGATATATCAATATTTCCGTTAGTGTTTGATAAATATGTAACTATTTTTAAAATACTTACATATACTTAGCCTGTAAATATTTCAACGATTTGAGACAATTTTTTTCCTCAAAGAAATTTGGCCACAAAAATTTCTGAGCATTACCTTCAAAAATACAAATTTTATGAAAATTCCTATTTTCATGTTATTCTCCCGTCCCATAAATATTTGGAATTTTTTCCATAAATATTATATAAGTTCAGATTTCAAAGATTCTTCGTAAATATATACACATCCGGCCTCTGATCATAATATCTAAATTATAAATTTGTACTTATTACACGATTTAAATTATCAGAACGGAACGCTTTGTTGGCTGATCATCTACTCTGCTGCGTCCTACTGGCTCGCAATTGTTGGTAAATAAATATGCGTCGAATTTAGTCTTATAATTAACACTTAATTAATAATAACAATAATTAATTATAATTAATTATAAACAAATTAACAACAATTTATCCACCAATTTAAAAATGCAAGGATTAAACGCTGCTCATCATCACCCAGCCTGTGAGACAAAATATCCTCTTATAAAAAGAAGAAAAAAACTAAACTAATCAAACATTTGATACACAATTATTTCCAGGTTTTCATGATGGCGACGAAGCCAGACATGATCCCGATTTCGGGTCAGTTTTTACCCCCAATTATTTATTTATCTTGTCTGGAAGAAACTATAAATAAGTAATAATCTCACCTTATTTATTATTTTAGGCTGTGTCAATTAGACTCGACGCTGGACAAGGCGGACGACTTTCATAAGACTGAGCTCGCCGTTTTGACAACTTTCGGAGAACATCCGTTACATCACCTTTTCCCTTCGGTTTGAATTTTAATGACTAAAATCCAACTCTCTTCCTTATGTAATTCTCATTCATTACTCATCCCCCGTTTCGGTGTTTTTTAGGTGTGTCACTCCAAGCTGCCTCTGCTCAAACCGATTTTCGAACAAGTGCTTCACGAATTCTTGGAGAATAATCGATACGCGTCTCAACTCGAGCTTTTCATTGGGACGCACCGACAATACGCCAGGGTCACCAAGTGGTCTCGCAAAAGACAGTTGGGCTACCAGTTTGGCGAATACTGATTTATGCATATAAATCCGATCCATATTTAAATCCATATTTATTATTTATTTTTATTTTAATTCCGCTACCGTTATAAAAATCCAGACAAGTGTAACGTTTAAAACGAGGCTCAACGAATAAAATAAGTCGATTAAGACGTGCAATACTTAGAATGGAGGTTTCCCAGCGTGTGCTCTCAGATTTTGTGCAAATTTGGGTTAATGTATCACAAATTTAATTAGTATGAAATTTGCAAAAGATACACGTTTTACAGAGATATTTGCATCCGTAGAGGAGAAAACGTGCCCTTAAAGTCGATAAACTTTACACTTTCCAAATTTACTGCGCGTTTTCTATTTGGGTTAATCGATCGCAAATTTAATGAAATTTGCAGAAGAAAAGACACACGTTTGGCAGAGATATTTGCATCCCAAGAGGAGAAAACGCGCCCTTAAAGTCCACAAATTTTACACTTTCCAATTTTACTGCGCACTTTCTCCTCTTTGAATGCAAATATCCCTGCCAAACGTGCCCATTGGGAGATCGTGTCTTTTGCAAACTTCATACTAATCAAATTTGTGATCGAATTTGCACAATTTTCCCCAAAATCTGCGAGCATTCGCTGCGAGACCTCCATCCTTACTATGCAATGGTATATTTTTATTGCCAGCAAAATCAATCTCGAACCCGTATGTTTGTAGTTACCTACTATAAGATTCCCTTTAATCGATTTTAGGACCATGCTGGCTCCGCATTTTATTACTAATCCCGAAGCCATATTATACATACGGATCTGGATCCTTACATATTCCCGAATTTGTTCTTGATATTTTTCTCCTCGTCCAATAAGTTCAGTGAAAAGAAAAGTTTTCCCATTAATTTATCTTTTCCTCCTCCTCCTCCTCCTCCTACGTAAAATACATACAAATAGTGAACACAAGTCAACAGTAAAACACGTCTCAAACATGCATGGTCGTCATACGTTTCATGTCACCTGAGAACAGTGGCCGCGGAAGGTGTGGGGTCATCTGGGGACATTAACAGGGGAGGGAGGGGATTATATAAGATGGGAGATGATGGGGACATCGAATAACCGTGGGGATATTGTCCCTCTGTCCCACCCTGCTTCCGCGGCCACTGTATCCATCCATAAAGGGCTTTCTCCAATGAAATGGAAACAGTCCAGAGCAGCACAAGAGTAGGGTTGGGTTACGGAGAGCAGAATTTGATCTCTGAAATCCTACTAGCAAGCGAGCGAGGAGGACTATGTTTTATGATGTGATTGTTTTATAATTAAGGAATCAAGCCAAGTTCCTCCACAACATTCTTATGCAAACGAAAAAGGTCGAGAAAAAATTAAGATTTATGATCACTTACAGTCGAGGTCTCGCAACGTATGCTCTCCGATTTTGGACAAATTAGTGTTAATCGGTCATAAATTTGAGTAATATGAAATTTGCAATAGCCAAAGTGTAAAATTTGTCAACTCTAGGGCGCGTTTTCTCCTCTTCGGATGCAAATATCTCGGTCAAACGTGCCCATTGGGAGATGATACCCTTTGCAATTTTCATACTAATTAAATTTGTCATCGGTTGTCACTAATTTGCTCAAAATCGGAGAGCATTCGTTGTGAGACCTCCACTCTTACAACATTAGAAATAACTCTGCTTTCATTTCAAACTGCATAACCACGTTTTTCCCTTTAACTAGGTCACGTACAGTAAAAACGAGCTAATTACCAAACTATTATTAGAACACCTGCAGTAAACCTCCCGACATAATTCGTTACACACCCTTTTTAAGGCAACCTAACCATCTAACAATATCCAACGAGGAGATATGTATGCATGCATGCAGTAAAACCAAGCCGTAACAAAATTGCGGGCTTTCTTCCTCCTCCTCGTCTTTGCTTTCTCTTTGCTTTCTCTTTCTTCTTTTTGAGGTTGAAACGACCCTCTTTTTCTCTTTCTCACACAAGGAAAGTCATCGTTCGCTGCGCGTGACTCTTCCTCCGTCAGTGGGAAATTGGAGAAAAGCAGATTCACGAAATTGTGCCACGCCAAACCAAATTGCACGGGATAAAACGCCACCACCAAGGAGAAAGCAAACGACGTCCTTATAACGGAACGGAAACGCGAAAATTACATGAGTTGTGCTCTCCTCAGTCACATCAGATCCAGAAGAAGGTCGGAATACAATGGGAGAAATAATGTCCTTCTTCCCACTGCTTCACCTTCGCCTGAAAGCGATATCGAATCACCAATGATCCCATTTATTCCGGAGGGTTTATCCGCAGGCGAAAAGTCATCATTTTTTCATAGCCTACTCCTCTCATCTAATTTGTTTTGTCTGATTCCAAGATTGCCAGTCAGTCGGGCTGAAGATAAATTTCTTTATGTGCGCAATTTCAGGCATTATTTTTTTTCTTTTACTTAAAGGGAAATATTCAGCCTAAATTTTCACAGGGTACATACATATTTAAATATGTAAATATGCATTTGGTACCAGCCATGTCTTTTAAAGGACATTGGAATTTTTGGGGAAATTATACCAAGAAAAACAACAATACTTAATCATTCGACCAAGGTCACAAACAATATTACTTAAAAAGTGTCAGCTAGAGACATTGGCGGTGGAAGTTGGGGGGACATAGGGGGACGTTAATATTGGAGGATAGGAGGAAGAGGGACTTATTAACATGGGAAAGATAAGATTTCTGGGGGACAATGTTCCCACATGTCCCCCCCCAACTTCCGCCGCCACTGAATTCTAAAGACATTCATTGCACTTCGGAAACTACAATTTTGGTAAAATTATATACCCAGAAAAAAAGAACACTAATCATTCCCCCAGGGTCACAAAGAATATTAAAAAGTGTCATCTGGAGATATGTATTGATGGAAACTTTGCCTGCCCTAGAATATTCCCAGGCATAACAAAGACATCTACACATAAGCTGCACGTGGGCTGTATTGTAACCCACTTTTGCAAGGAAGGATGCTATTGACTGAGCGCATTACCCTTTTGTCAAGAATTATTACTAGAAAATCTTGTATTACGGGGCACAATGGCAGGCAGAAAGTGGTGTCAATATCATCCCGTGCCATGCATCCATTCTAAAAAATTGACTGTGGATACATGAATAAATATTTCAGAATTATATTTAACGTAGAACTTCAAAATCACCATATTTCTCGGCTCTGGGAATTTATTTTAAAATTCTGAAAGACAAATTCGTAGAGCAGCAAAATTATCAATTTTTTTAAATTCCATATTTTGAGTTTTTGAAGGAGGAGATCCCAATTTTACGCAGCCTTCAGAAAAATCAGAATTCGGCTTAAAAAGCTCAACGCCATATTCAATTAATCAACTCACTGACTACAAATTTGTCGTCCAGAATTTTAAAATAAATTCCCACAGTCGAGAAACGATTAAAAATGTGCTGATTTTAGTGATGACTCATCAAATCCTACGTTAAATATGAATAAATAAATATTTCGGAACCATATTTAAATTTCGTTTCTCTTTTAACCCTGATTTGATATTCATGCACATGGTTTTCCAATTGCCACGAGTGCCCCTATTTCCTCCACATTTCGGGATTAATTTCATATTCATTGTCATCACATGTCCATGTAAAACGATATTTCATTCCCTCCCAGTCACACTAATGGAATGGATGCAGGTCGTCTCATGAATATGGATGTGCTTCCTGTCTCACCAGATGAATTTTTAAAAGACATTGGCACAGAATCGCGTGCATATTATGCAGTGCCCGCGGAAGGGTGTGGACAGAGGGACAATGTCCCCGCCATACATCTTCAAAAAATATTTATTCATTCAAAGTTCATTCATTCAAAGCCTTGAAAAAAAATATTCATTCCTTATTCACTTATTCATAATTTGTAAAAAAATACTCATTAATTATTCACCATTCCTTCATTGTTCATTTTATTCAAAATTCACAGTATTAGATGAATTTCTCAACTTTCCTTATGTATTAAGCATTGAATTCAAAATGAATAATGAAAAAAATATTCGTTCATTATTCATTCACACGAATTGAATAGATATTCGATCAATATTAATTTATTCAAAAATCAGAATAAAATATTCATTCAATATTCATTCAAATTTTGAATATTGAACGAATAATTTATTAATACATCTTTAAATGAATGAATGTGAACATGTATGGTCCCCACGGTTATTCGATGTCCGCATCATCTCCCCATCTTATATATCCTTCCCTCCCCCTGTCCTACAATGTTAATGTCCCCACATGTCCCCACGGCTTCCGCGGCCACTGATATTAGCGGTACGAACGAGCTTGGCTGCCGTAGCGTCGTATTGATTGAAGATGTGAAATATTTCTCCATAAAAAGAAAGAAGGCATATCTCAGCAATTTTCCGAGTGGGATAATGGTCTCCTCAGTTCAGCCAGAACCCTTTATGCTAATGTGGCCTCCATTTGTGTATGTACATACATAAACGGACGGACATAAACGATGACGATGTGACGATATTTAAATTATAGCGAATTTCTCCATGAATCTGCAACTTTCTCTTTTATTTTCACACTTAAAGGACGTGCTACATTCATTCATATAAATATTTCCTTTACCAGAATGACCGAAATGGCATGATGTATTCGTATCCAGTGACCGCGGAAGGGTGGGGACAGACGGACGACAATGTCCCCACGGTTGTTCAATGTCCCCTTAATCTGCCCATGTTATACATATACATAAATCCCTCCCTCCCCTATCCTACAATATTTATGTCCCCTGATGTCCCCCACGGCGTCCGCGGCCCCTGTTCCTATCTCTCTTTTTATGTCCTTACTTATGGGAACAGACAAAGGGGAATATTTCATCAACCGTTTTTTAGTCCGATTGTCAAATCATTCAGAACATGGGAGAGGCGGACTGAGAAATGGAGGATGGCATAAAACTCAGCCTATCCAGCCGCACGAACAAAGAATATGTATCCCTACATCAGGCCTGCAAAATTGTCACAACGAGACCAAGTGGAACAAAGGGTTCTTAATTCTTGTCAATAATGCAAGAAAACTACTAGTTTTCGTACATTATTCAATGTAGGACTCGATGCCTCATCGCCAAAATCGCCAAAATCAGCACATTTTAATCCTTTCTCCGCTCTGGGAATT